TGTTTTTGCGGTTTATAGGTAGATGGGGTAGGGCAGGTAAATTCAAAACCTTACCACCTGTTCTTATTATTGCTGGAAGCAGTGATTCTATGGCAGGTGGATTTTTGTCAAAATAGAATCTCTTGTCAAGACTTTACTTTCTGAAATCCTTAATAGAAAATCGTGACTTACGATTTTACGTAAAAAAATTAAAGTTGAATAACCTGTTTACATCACAAACAACACGTCGATTTGTTTAGCCAACTTGTTTTAATTGTTACAATAATATTTTTTACATAACCTTTTAGTGGAGTGAATAATTATTAGGGAAATCAAATAGGATGAACCATAGGGGTCAAAAAATCATCCCTTGTGATTAAGAGTCACCTCTTTACCCTTATCATTATTTATATGCGGGTTACATAGTGATTTAAGTAAAAATGCACAGTGGGGTAAAAAAAATTTTTGGGTGGATACTTAAAATTTCCATAACTTTTGCAATTTTTAATGAAATAAAGTTAAATTTTCATCAAGTACTAATAAAAATGTGCTCTTTAAGATATAATCTACATATTATTAATAAATAAAAGCGTTGTGGTGAAGGTTGATCTCTCCATGTAAGACCTGATTTTCTCGCACTGTGCATACCCCTTAATTGGCTGAATTGGTCCAGTCACGAATGGTCGCGTGTCCCACATGTCTTTCGTCGTCATTCGTTTTCATTTATTATTATTTATTTGTTTTGGGCCATTCATGTGCTCCAAGTGTCTTACTTCAACACATCACATGAATTATTATCTCGACGACTGTTTAAAAAGCATTTCAATTTCAAATGACTAGACTCGAAAACGGATTTACGAGGTTTTATTTTTTTTTGATAATTTTTTTCAGGCAAAACTCTTTGTATTTATAATACAGGGCGAATCATTTTTTCTGCCACTGTTAAAAAATCCATTATGAATAATAGACTGAGCCAAAAAAATCGACTATTTTTTTTTTTGAAAAGTACCTATATCGAAAATATTGTTTGGGGTGACAAAAAATGGTGAAAGTTTGAGTCCATAATATTAATATTAAGAGGTCTATCATCGCAATTTTAGATTTTTTTTTCCTGAGCGAGTTTTTGTCTCAGAACTCCCAAATCATTAAGTTTAACAAAATTGGCTTAAGAATATTTTTTAAAGAAAATTGAATGCTCTACAAAAAAGGTTTAATTGGAATTTTCCGTCAGATGAACCCTTTTCTTACAATCATGCCTTAAAAATTGGTATAGTTTTACAATTTGATCTTTTAACTTTGGAATTTTGTAATTCAAGTAAAAATCAGTACCCTGAAAAAAAAACGATAAATATTCTTATGGGAAATCAAATGCTCTACAAAAAAGTCTTTTATCATTTTTGGCTAAATTCACCCCATCAAAAGTTATTCAAGGTTAAATTTGAAGTCAAAACGAAATTTTAACCTTGAATAACTTTTTATTGAGTGAATTTAGCCAAAAATGTTAAGAGACTTTTTTTGTAAAGCATTTGATTTACCATAAGAATATTTATCGGTTTTTTATGGGTACTTATTTATACATGAATTACAAAATTCCAATGTAAAAGATCAAAATGTAAAACTATACCAATTTTTAAGGCATGATTTTAAGGAAACGGTTCATCTGACGGAAAATTTTACTTTAACCTTTTTTGTAGAGCATTTAATTTTCTTAAAAAAATATTTTTAAGTTAATTTTGTTAAACTCAATGGTTTAGGAGTTCTGAGCCTAAAACTTGCTGAGGAAAAAAAATTAAAATTGCAACCTCTTAATAATAATATTATGGACTCAAACTATAACAATAATTTTTTTTTGTCACCCCAAACCATATTTTCGATATACTTTTCAAAAAAAAAAGAGTTGATTTTTTTGGCCCAGTCTAATGAATAACTGCTTAACGAAAGGAGGTATTTTTGTTTGCAAATTAATCTTCGAACTAAATTGATTAAATAATGCTAAACTATAAATAGTTTTTTTATACCTCAATAATAATTATTATTTATGACTAAATACCATTTTTATACCTCAATTAGGATTAAATTAATTAATTGACAAAGTAATGTTGTTTTTACCTTAAATGAGGTATTTTTATTAAAAATAGTACAATAATCCTTTAAATTAAAGGATTTAATGATGGCAGGTAAAAAGTGACCATGGTGCGCAAAAAAAATATATTTTTATAAGAAAATTATTTCAGAATCGTATAAGAAGAAAAATCGAACAAAATTGATTTTTTTTCATTACAGCGTCATTTACTACAAATATGAAAAAATGTTTAAGACAAAATCTACCAATTTTTAGTCGAATGATCCGAATCTGCAATAAAAAATATGGCGTTCCCTTGAAAATTTTAAAGTTACCCCCTGTTCCCCCCATAAGGAGAATATTTAGTACTGATTGATTTCCCCCCTCGAATCATTTAATTTTTATTCTAAACATTTTTTCGTAAAACTGAGATATCAAAGTTTCAAGTTATATGACTTTTTAATTCAGATTGAAACTTTGGTTACCCCTGGTATTTTTTGTTTATTTTTAAATGTTTTGAAAGACAACTTCATTTGGAACAAAAAATTAAAATTTCATAACTGGAACTTTCTAATTTTTGTTTTTCCGACTTAATAAATATAGTTTTCTTAAATTAGAATGCAAACTACTCAACTATAGTTGAGTATACTTAATAACAAAGGAGGAAAATCGTAACATGAAAACACCCGCATTGAATTTTATTTCTGTCATGATGGCCATTAGATGCCGTGTGAATATTATCTACAGATATAAACAGCATTTTCGTGCCCCATTTACACCACTCGCAATTGATTTTTACCATTATTAATTACAAACCCACATATGCAATTAGATATAAGTACCATTAGATTAGAAAAATAGAATTTTGACGTCTGTCAAACGTGTGCCTAACTTCAAGTCATGGCAAGGCTAGATTAAAGATTTTGACAACTGTTAACAAAAAATAAACTTTAATACAGGTAAATAGACTTTAAATCGAATTTTTTGACCGTCCTCGACAGTTAATTATCCATATCATTAGACGTACCGTCGAATAGACAAAGAAATGCACCATAAAATTACAATTTAATGATTATTCCGGCACGTAAGTAACATTTACTATCGCTTGTAATGACCTGTGCAAAAAGGCACTGTGGTGATTAACGAAGAAGAAGATTGAAGGCTTAGAATAGGTGCGGAAGAAGATGAAGAAGAAGAGCCGGGAGTCTGCATGTTCATTACGTTGCGTTTGTGTTTCGTTTTTCTGTGGAGTTCACTGTCGAGTCTATTGAAGAAAAGTGGATGATGGTTTGAGGTCTTTTTTTAATTCGGTTTCTTGGTTGTCGGAACAATCGCGATCACGAATGCCTCTAATGACTGACTATAGGATGAGATGAGAAAATGACTTGACAGGGCCGTATTAAAAATGTTTTTTGTAATTTAAAAATTTTTATTTTTCTTTCAAAATCAAGTTTTTTGGTAAAAATTATCCTTTTAACAGTCTCCCCAGTATTTAACTGTTACAAATATATTTTTAACTGTAAATTATTGTTATTAACCGTTACAACAACCGTTACGTTATTGTTATTAACCGTTACAAATTTATTTTGAAATTATTTTTTTTATTTTGATTTCAAAACTAATTTTATTAATTTAAAACCAAGTATTTTTGACATTTAACCATAGGTAATTGTAATTTTGTAACACTTACTTTTCATAATTTATCATTATTTTAGTAACAATGTTATTTTGACAGTTTTACTCATCATTTGAACTGTTACAAAGATATTTATACAATTGTCACTTTGACTGCTACATGCGTTACGTAAAGTGTTATTTTTACAGTTTCACTAGTGATTTTAAGTTAATAGTAATAATAATAATAAATTTATTAATCATTTTGACTACAAAACAGAGTATAGGACAAGTGAAAAATAATTTTACAAAAGAATTAAATATTATTAAATAAAGTAACAAGTGTTATTTTAACCGCTTCAAGTTTATTTTGAATGTTAATATTTTGCTTTAGTTATTACTTTTAAATATAAATGGAATTTTTTTGAATTATTTATATTTTAACCTTTACTTTTTACACTTTTTACAGTTGATCAAGTTTTAAAATAAAAAATTTTATTTTGACAGTTACATGCGTTACGTTCAGTATCATTTTGACAGTTTTACCAGTAATTTTAACGCTAATTTCGTCTAATTTTCTGATTTTTGTGTATAAAGGTCTTAACTTAGACCACAACAAAACTGACAGATAGATAACCTCAAATATTTGTATTCAAAGGTTAAATTGGGACTTAAATGTAATAACGAGTGGCATTATACAAAAATTTTGTTACGGCCCTGTGTCCCTTTCTTCATTTTCTTTGTTGTTGTTTTGTTTTCATCGCCCCCTATGATGGTATTTTTTCTTGAAATCGCGTACGCTTCACCGACTCTCCTAAGCTTTTGTTTTTTACCTCTGTCAGCACATTCAATATTTATTTATTTACATTTCATGTCGGTATATTTGTTTAAAATAATAAACAGTACTTAAACAAAATAATGAATCACAGAAAACTCTCGATTTTTATTTAATATGTTAATAAGGACGAATTTTATACCTGCGAAACATTTTTTCAGTTCCACTTAACTTACCGAGGGTGCCTTGGTCACGGGGTTAACAAAAGAACAACGGAATCCAAGGTTACGACGCAGCATTCTTGGATGGCCGTTGGTAAATCTACAAAAAGCATAAAAAAGGCAGAAAACAATATAAAATATTCCTATTTTATGAGTAGTTATGTAATTAATTCATTTTAACTACAAAATCCCCAAAAAAACAATATAATGTACAACTGACAACGTTTTTAAACTTTCGTATTCGCCCTCCAATCAAAATCAAGTTTCTTCGTGACGTGTCCAGCCCATTTATCATTTTGCGATTGAACGTAGGCAACCCAGATAACAAATCCGTGTATCATTAAATTTACTTGGCAGTAAATTGTTGACAAACCTCAAATTACAAAAAGCAACATGTTATTATAATACACCGCCCCGCTGGGATGTGAAATGGCATTAATTACTTAATTACCAAAGGGATTTGGGGATTTGTGGCGAAATTTAAGCGATTATTTAGGACATAACCTCAAATTTATTTCGTAAGTAAATTAAATGGATTTCGTGGACCATATTGCTACCCCCAAGTTGGACGGGGTTATTTTACACAGCCCCCTGCAAGAGGCTATAGATGGGACTTTGTGTGTGACAGGGCATCATTTAATTTTGAGTTCGAGGAAAGAGGATGTACAGGAATTATGGGTAAATATGCCATAATTTTAGTGTTTTTAACAATATTTTTGAAGAACGACCTAATTGTAGATACTACTACAATATTCTTCACTATTTAGCTACTCTACAATTCAGGTTAAAATATTGTGCACTGGTGTACAGTACACCGTGTACTTTTAGGGTAGTGTACTTATGTTGTGCAATTGTTTAAGTAACAATTGTAATTTTGACTGTAACTGTTACTAGCAGTGTGAAGTGTCATATTTACATAACAATTGTGTCATTTTATTAACTAAAAGGATTAACAGTTACTTATATTACTCATTGACTATACCATATATAGTTTTAATTGTTATTTTTACATTTAACTTTTTCATTAGCAGTTACACATTCTAAAAAGGTTATTTTAACAGTTACTCATGATGCTTACTTTTTACAGTTCAAGTTTTTTCGTAAAAATTGTAATTTTGACTGTTACATGCGTTACGTTAAGTGTTACCTTAACAGTTTCACAAGAGGTAATAACTGTTACAAGTGTATTATATATTATTCTAAAAAGATTATTTGAACAGTTATGTATGCTACGTAACGTTATTTTAACCGTTACAATTGTAAAAATTTTCATTTTGCTTTTAACCATAGATAATTGTAATTTTGTAACAGTTTGTTAAGTTTTTTAGTAGATAACAATTGTCATTTTGACAGTTTTACTAGTAATTTTAAATGTTTCATGTAATATTTTTAAAAGATTATTAGATCCTTTGCCTATGATACTAAGTATGCAAGTCTTGTAACAATTGTTATTTTAACAGTTACAAGTTTTTTTAAATTTACAAATTTTCATTTTGCTTTCAAATCTGTAAATTTTTAGTAAAATTTGTCATTTTAACAGTTTCAACCAGCATTTAACTGTTACAAAGAAATGTTTAAATTTACATAATTGTTGTTTTAACCGTTACAAGTTGATTTTGAATGTAATTTTTTTATTTTGCTTTCAAAACTAATTCTATTAATTTAAAACCAAGTATTCTTGACTTTTAACCAGATGTAATTGTAATTTTGTAACAGTTACTTTTACAATTTATCAAGTTTTTAAGTAACATTTGTAATTTTGACAGTTTTATCCTTTATTTAAACTGTTACAAAGATTTTTAACTTTAAAAATTATTTTTAGTAACAATTGTCAATTTGACCGTTACATGCGTTACGTTAATTGTCATTTTGACAGTTTCACTAGTGATTTTAAATGTTACACGTTTATTATGTTATATTTTAAAATATTATAAGAATAATACTAAGTATACAAGTCTTGTAAGTTACTTAACGTAACAATTGTTATTTTAACAGTTACAAGTTTATTTTAAATTTACAAATTTTCATTTTGCTTTCAAAACTGTAATTTTATTAATTTAAAACCAAGTATTTTTTACTAATAATCATGGATAATTGTAATTTTGTAACAGTTACTTATCACATTTTTAAGTTTTACCCATCATTTAAACTGTTATTTTTTGATATTTTTAACTTTAAAAATAATTTTAGTAATAATTATAATTTTGACCGTTACAAGCTTTACATTCAGTGTAATTTTAACAGTTTTACCAGCAATTTTAACTGTTACAAGTGTATTATATCAACCCTTGTAGATTTTAAGTACAATGTTTAATTTTAGTTATTGCACCAATGTATAGACGCAATAGAGAAAAAACAACAAGGCGGCAATTCAAATCAAAATGGGGGCTCCCTAGTACTGAAATGTAAAGACTTCCGTATCCTACAACTAGACATAGCTGGCGCGAATGAATTCCACAACATATACGACTCGATTGAAAGACTTTCGAACCTGGACAACCTCGAATCTCTGTACCCCTTTTTCTACCGCCCCATGTACAACATTCTCGAAGACGGCCACACGCTATTTCAACCGGAACTGGAGTTCGCGAAACTTCTGGCCAGCGACGAGTGGCGGATATCCCACGTCAACAAAACCTACGCCATATGTCCCAGCTACAGCGGCACGCTCATCGTCCCGAAAAGCATAGACGACGACGTCATTATAGCTGCGGCCAGCTTCAGAGATGGCGGGAGGTTCCCCGTTTTGAGCTACAGGCACGACAGCGGGGCTGTTTTGTTACGCAGCAGTCAACCCCTGTTGACGAACAACAATAGAAGGTGCAGGGCTGACGAAAAGATATTAAATACTATTCTGGGGTCCAGTAAAAAGGGTAAGTAAATTTTAAACAATTTTTTTAAGTTAATGTTTGGTTTTGACTGTTACTTGTAATTTTGACAGTTTACAGACATATTTTAACAGTTACTTTAACATTTATAAACAGTTTTAATTTAAAACTATTTTTTTAATTAAAACTGTTATTTTAATGTTTAATTTTGACGGTTAAGAGACATATTTTAACAGTTTTAATTGTTATTTCAATGTTAAACTATTTTTAACTCTTAAAATTGTTATTTTAATGATTTTTATATGTAATTTTGACAGTTACTAGAAATATTTCAATAGTTACTTTAAAAGTTAGAAGTGTTATTTTAATTTAAAACTTATTTTTAAGTTAAAATTGTTATTTTAATATTGACTGTTACTTGTTATTTTGAAAGTTACTAGAAATATTTTAATAGTTACTTTAACAGTTTTAAGTGTTATTTCAAGGTAAAACTATTTTTTTAAATTAAAATTAAACTGTTACTTTAACATTTATAAAGGTGATTTTAATTTTAAACTATTTTTTGGCAGTTAAAATTATTTTTTTAATGTTTTTGACAGTTACAGGAAATAGTTTAATAGTTACTTTAACAGTTACAAGTGTTATTTTAATTTAAAACTATTTTATGATAATTAAAACTGCTATTTTAATTTTAAATTTTGACTGTTACAATTTTTTCATTTTTTATAAATATTTTAACAGTTACTTTAACAGTTACAAGTGTTATTTCTATGTTAAACTATGTAATTTTGACAGTTACTAGAAATATTTTAACAGTGGGTGATTCCATTTATTAGCCACCAATGAGTGTACCTCATATACTCTAATTTTATTTCTTTTTTAACTGTAAATAGACATGGACCCAAGAAGTGAAAAAAACTCCCCTTTTCTTTTCTCCCCCTATCACCTATTTATACAGGGCTACGCAAAAGTTACTATGCAGACCTAACTTAAAATTTTTTTACTTTTTTTGCTAATAAAGCTATCGACATTAAACAAACTGTTAATTGTTAAAAAAATATTTCTCTTTTAAACCATATAGGACACATTTAGTTATTGATGCCCTAAATGGTCTTTGGGAATTTTTTTAAAAATGCAATTTTTTGGCAAAATTGTCTAATTTTATAAATTCATATATTCTTAGAACAACTTGCCAGCTAAATTTTTTTAATGTAGTTTGTTACCATAGATCTTACTCTATATAGAAGCAATGAAAACATTTTCAAATAATATTGGCTAAGAGTTCAAAAAAATATAATAAAAATCCATGTTTTCGAAAAATCACTATTTTCAGTCATTTCATGGTTTAAAAAGGCTATGTTTGAGTGAGTCGATTTAAACCAATTTATGCTTATCATCACATGCACTTATTGGCCTCCAATAACCATTAATAAAATTATTGTGTATTTTGCTTTTAACTGGGCTGTGGCTATATGTACAGCCCAGCTATAAGTAAAATACACAATATGCCCACCTGACTTTCAGCCATTTCATGGTTTAAAAAGGCTATGTTTGAGTGAGTCGATTTAAACCAATTTATGCTTATTATCACAGGCACTTATTGGTCTCCAATAATCATGAATAAAATTATTATGTATTTTTCTTTTAGCTGAGCTGTGGATGTATTTGTCCCCCTGTGACTATATCCATATTATTAACCATATATTTCGAAAAAGCGTATTACATCTTTAAAATAACTTGACAGCCTTGAATTGACTTCTAATTCATTCTAAATAAAAATATAAAATATAAAAACCACATACAGTGGCGTCGAAAATTAACTACCCATTTATTAATTTTTAAATTAAGAAAACATAATCAAAAGTACAAAAAATTAATTAAATGACTAAAAGACATACTTTTCATAAACTTTATATTTAAACAAAATAAAACAGGTATTAAATCCTAAATTTGAATTAAAACTAACTGCATATAATTAAACTGAAGAAATCATATTCTTAACTTTTACAATCACCTAAAAAACCTATTTACTATTTTTTACCTCTAAAAAGTTATATGAATCGGAAAATTTTCTTATGTGTTTAATGTCTATCAAGAGGAATAAGTTAACGACTTATGGCCTTTAAATGGATCGCAGCAGACTTCACCAAAAATGTTGGTAAAATTATATAGATACTTTAATTTGTGATACCTACGTACAAATATCGGTTACAGTTGCATCCACTCGCCATTCCCTTCTTTTTAATAAAAATAAAGTTCTACTTTACTGCTGATTTCTTATACTTTACTGCCGATTGTTGACTACTTTCGGCAGATTTCGGATAAAAATATTTTTTGCGATTTTCGAAGATTGAATCTTGTACTAAGGAGGAAAACAAATAATAGAATGGCGAGTGGATGCAACTGTAACCGATATTTGTACGTAGGTATCACAAATTAAAGTATCTATATAATTTTACCAACATTTTTGGTGAAGTCTGCTGGGATCCATTTAAAGGCCATAAGTCGTTAATTTATTCCTCTTGATAGACATTATACACATAAGAAAATTTTCCGATTTATATAACTTTTTAGAGGTAAAAAATAGTAAATAGGTTTTTTAGGTGATTGTAAAAGTTAAGAATATGATTTCTTCAGTTTAATTATATGCAGTTAGGTTTAATTCAAATTTAGGATTTAATACCTGTTTTATTTTGTTTAAATATAAAGTTTATGAAAAGTATGTCTTTTAGTCATTTAATTAATTTTTTGTACATTTGATTATGTTTTCTTAATTTAAAAAATAAATAAATGGGTAGTTAATTTTCGACGCCACTGTATGTGGTTTTTATATTTTATATTTTTATTTAGAATGAATTAGAAGTCAGTTCAAGGCTGTCAAGTTATTTTAAAGATGTAATACGCTTTTTCGAAATATATGGTTAATAATATGGATATAGTCACAGGTGGACATATACCTCCACAGCTCAGCTAAAAGAAAAATACATAATAATTTTATTCATGATTATTAGAGACCAATAAGTGCCTGTGATGATAAGCATACATTGGTTTAAATCGACTCACTCAAACATAGCCTTTTTAAACCATGAAATGGCTGAAAGTCAGGTGGGCATATTGTGTATTTTGCTTATAGCTGGGCTGTACATACAGCCACAGCCCAGTTAAAAGCAAAATACACAATAATTTTATTAATGGTTATTGGAGGCCAATAAGTGCATGTGATGATAAGCATAAATTGGTTTAAATCGACTCACTCAAACATAGCCTTTTTAAACCATGAAATGGCTGAAAATAGTGATTTTTCGAAAACATGGATTTTTATTATATTTTTTTGAACTCTTAGCCAATATTATTTGAAAATGTTTTCATTGCTTTTATATAGAGTAAGATCTATGGTAACAAACTACATTAAAAAAATTTAGCTGGCAAGTTGTTCTAAGAATATATGAATTTATAAAATTAGACAATTTTGCCAAAAAATTGCATTTTTAAAAAAATTCCCAAAGACCATTTAGGGCATCAATAACTAAATGTGTCCTATATGCTTTAAAAGAGAAATATTTTCTTAACAATTAACAGTTTGTTTAATGTCGATAGCTTTATTAGCAAAAAAAGTAAAAAAATTTTAAGTTAGGTCTGCATAGTAACTTTTGCGTAGCCCTGTATAAATAGGTGATAGGGTGAGAAAAGAAAAGGGGAGTTTTTTTCACTTCTTGGGTCCATGTCTATTTACAGTTAAAAAAGAAATAAAATTAGAGTATATGAGGTGCACTCATTGGTGGCTAATAAATGGAATCAGCCCAGTTACTTTAACATTTTAAAATTGTTACCGGAAAATGTCAAAAACTCAAGTAACTTCAATATATTTAAGAGAAGACTGAAGCAACACTGCAATATGTAATTTAACTAATGTGATATAATAAATTCTACAACCATGTACCTGTAAAACTGATCTCGCTATCAGCCTTTGGCTGTTTTGAGATTCTAATGTACCTGAAACATTATGATGCCATATAATTATTACACTTTATACATATATTTTATACTAAATGTTAAATCAGTATTATATTGTTTTATAGAAATAAATAAATAAAAAATAAATAAATTTAACTTTTTTGACAGTGAAAATTGTTATTTTAATATTGACTGTTACTTGTTATTTTGAAAGTTACTAGAAATATTTTAATAGTTGCTTTAACAGTTTTAAGTGTTATTTCAAGGTAAAACTATTTTTTTTTAATTAAAATTAAACTGTTACTTTAACATTTATAAAGGTTATTTTAATTTTAACTATTTTTGCAGTTAAAATTATTTTTTAAATGTTTTTGACAGTTACAGGAAATAGTTTAATAGTTACTTTAACAGTTACAAGTGTTATTTTAATTTAAAACTATTTTTTGATAATTAAAACTGCTATTTTAATGTTTAATTTTGACTGTTACTTGCAATTTTTACATTTTTTAGAAATATTTTAACAGTTACTTTAACAGTTACAAGTGTTATTTCTATGTTAAACTATGTAATTTTGACAGTTACTAGAAATATTTTAATTTAAAACTTTTTTGACATTTTAAATTGTTATTTTAATATTGACTGTTACTTGTGGTTTTGTAAGTTGGAAGAAATATTTTAATAGTTACTCTAACAGTTTTAAGTGTTAATTCAAAGTAAAACTTTTTTTTAAGTTAAAATCGGTATTTTAATGTTTGGTTTTGACTGTTACTTTAATATTTATAAAGGTAATTTTAATTTAAAACTTTTTTTGACTGTTAAAATTGTTATTTGAATATGACTGTTACTTGTAATTTAAAAGTAACAAAAAATATTTTAAAAGTTACTTTAACAGTTTTTTTAAAACTATTGTTGACAGTTAATATTGTTATTTTAATGTTTAATTTTGACAGTTACGAGAAACATTTAACAGTTACAAGTGTTATTTATATTTAAAATATTTATTTTTGACAGTAACAAGTGAATTAATTATAAAAGTTATTTTGTTATCTGCTTATTTTAACAGTTACAACATAGTTGTAACACATAATATGCATTTAATTTAATACAATAGTAATTTTAACAAAATTAAAAGTGTTTTTCATAATAAAGAGAACATTTTTAAGGTTACATAATCGACACGAGAAGCACGAGTTACACGAACAATTGCAAGGGAAAGGGAGGGGGGACCGAGCCCGACGGCCACTACACGCAGTGGAAAAAAGTTTTCAAACCCATGGACAAAATCTCGAAGTGCGACGGGAGCGTGTTAGACCACCTCGGAAAGCTAATCGACGGTAAAAATCGATTTCCCCGGAATCTGGGAATTTCGGAAATCTGGCAACACCGCACCACCAGTTTTTTGACGATTTTGTTGATTTTTATGGGAAATTATGAAAGATATTTGGGTTTTATGATAAAAAAAATGTTTATTGAGCGTGTGTGCCTAAAAAAGTCGTTATGATGTTGTTTTAAAGTGTGTGCAGTGTTGTCAGATTTCCATTTTTTCCCTGGATCTAAGGATTTATCATTTTAGCTTGTAACGATACGAACTGTAACTCCGACAAGTGGTTGTCCAGACTGGAGAGTTCGAACTGGTTGACTCACATACAAAACGTTCTGAACGCGGCCTGTTTGGTTGCTCAGTGCTTGGACAAAGATGGCGCTAGCGTTTTGGTGCACGGGTCCAGCGGGATGGACTCCACTTTGCTGGTGACGTCATTGACGCAGGTAATTTTAAACCCCGACTGTAGAACGTACAGGGGATTACAGGCTTTGGTGGAAAGAGAATGGTTGCAGGCCGGACATCCGTTCCACACCAGGCACCGGAAGTTTTGCTACTCGGGGAGCAAATCCAAGGGCAACCAGCCGTCGTTTTTGTTGTTTTTGGATTGCGTTCATCAACTGCATTATCAATTCCCTTGCAGTTTCGAGTACACCACGCAGATGTTGATAAATCTCTTCGAGCACTCCTACGTGAGTCAGTTCGGTACTTTCCTGGGCAATTCCGAGTTCGACAGGCTAAACTTACAACTCCCGACGAAAACTACGAGTCTCTGGTCGTACTTAAACCGGCCTGAAGTTATAACCTCCCTGTTAAACCCTCTATACGAACCCAACAAGTCCCCAATATGGCCCAGTGTAGCCCCGGTTTCCCTTGTACTTTGGGATGAGTTGTATTTAAGGTTTGTTGTGGACCAAAGGGAAAGCAAAAAAGCCCTAAGTAAAATACAGGACGTCATTAATACGGATAAGAATTTGAGAAGTAAGGCTTTAAAGTTGAGGAAACAGCTGACAGACTTACAGAAAGAATTGGAGTGTCTTAATAATGAGCTTGAAGAAAATGATAGTGATAGTAGTTAGAGTTTTGATTTAAAGTACAAATTATTATTAACTTAAGTCCAAATATTTTTTAAAATTATTTTGACATTCATGAAGTGCATTTTTAGACTTGACAGTATGTTTTATGTCAAAAACTTAAAAAAATAATAATCTCAAAAATAATATATTATTTTAACCAGATATACAGGTTGACGGCTTTTCCCCAGAATCTGGGAATTTCGGAAATCTGGCAACACCGCACCATCAGTTTTTCCATCATTCTAGTTATTTTAATGACGAAATTTATAAAAAAAGTTGCATTCTATGACGATTAACAATGGTTTTAACCATTAATGACTAAAATTGTCACTATGTTGGTACTTTAAAGTGTGTACAGGGTTGTCAAATTTTCAATTTTTCTCAGATTTAGGGATTTTCACAAAAATGTGCTTATAGCGTCTAATGAATGTTTTACCCAGGTTTCGAAAATATCTTTAAGAAAAAACTACACTACACTACCTTGGCAATTTTTTTTCATTTAATTATTTTGTCATTCATGAAAAAAAAAATTGCCAAGACAACCACAATAAGGGTATAGACTTACAGGATTTTGTATGTCAAACTTTAAACATTAATAATTCCAAAAATAATATATTATTTAGATACTATTTTAGCCAGATATACAGGTTGAAGGTCTTTCAAAAACCTACCTCGCATTCGTACCAAAAAACGATTTTCCCCAGAATCTGGGAATTTCGAAAATCCGGCAACACCGCACTATCAGTTTTTCCATAATTCTAGTTATTTTTATGAAGAAATTTGTGAGAACAGTTGCATTCTATGACGATTAACAATGGTTTTTTACCATTAATGACTAAAATTGTCACTATGTTGGTACTTTTGAGTATGTACAGTGTTGTCAAATTTTCAATTTTTCCCAGATTTAAGGATTTTCGCAAAAATGTCATTTTAGCGTCTAATGAATATGTTAACTAGGTTTTTGAAAAGATCTTTAAGAATACCATGTATTAAAGGATTTAGATAACTAAATCTAGTCAAAATAATATCAGACAGAAATTTATTTTTTTATTTTTTATTCCCCATTTTGTGTTTATGCTGGATAAACATAAACATTTCCTTGTATTTTGATTTATATTAAATTAATCAAATTATTCAAATTTTGACCCAAGCTGTATAATATGAATCTTAAACATAGGTTTTTAGTATAAGTAGATAAAACAATGTCAATTTGTGATAAAATCAATATAAATCATGTTTAAAAAACATATCTCGTTCTCTAAGAATCAAAAACGATATTTTTAAGTTTTACAGTGAAGAACAATAACTTTAAAATGGAATCTCTATAAAAAATCACTTTTCCAAAATGTATGCTCACAAATTTTATCTCAATATAAAGGCTTTAAATGTATAATACGACAATTACAAATTGTAAAATTCGCTGAGTTTAAAAAATATTTTATTTTTATTATTCCAATGATTTCGGCTCAAGAATACATTCCACCCAAAAATAAAAAATAAGAAAACAAAAAGTTGTTTTATTTTTGACCAGTCAAATGCAAAAAACACGATGCACGATTTTTTTCAAAAAGGGGATTTGGCGCCAGAGCAGGGACACAAAAAACGATGTAGGTAATATAACTTTATTAATTCATCCATAATGTACAATAAATCACAATCTAGTATTAAAACAAAGTCTTTTCAATTAAAATTAAATAAACTGCAGAGCAACTTTACATTAAAACTATCAATGAAACTCTGTATATACACTGGATCATAAAATTTTTTTTGATATGGTCCAGTATACACTTATTAATCCAACGTGCCCAGAACCCCACCACAGTTTCTGTACACCCTGCAAGTCCGTTTATTGTTTTAAAGCTACATTCACATTGATTGCATCAGGTACTTTGTTACTGCGCGGGCTCGTAAGTGAAGATAATCGAGAACTGCTGTGCGCCGAGACTCTGCGCAAGCCACTCGTTCTTCAGCACAGCCATCTTGACACAATCGATTTTAAACTTTGCGTACAGATTCGTGTGTACAGCCCTGCCCATGCCCTCTAAGATAACCAAGTCTGCGTCCAACATCAAGTTGCACAGATCTAAAAACCAACACTTAAGAGCTTTTTTAGAGGCTCTAAAACTCTACTTACCCGGCGACAGCGTTGTCAGATCTAAGCAGGGCCCCGCCTGGCCGTTCTCCACCGTTATAAGCTGCGCAGTTGCAATAGCGCGCTTCAAAACTGGGCAGTACTGCGCAGCGCGGCAACAGTACATGTTCAGATCGTGGTAAGTGACGTCGTTGAGCGCTGGCAGCGAGTTAGCCGTCAGAATTACTTTGGTTTTTTGCTTTAGCAGTTCCCTAGCCAGGGGCAGAATGCCCAGGATGAAATCCACCCCGGCATTGTCCACGAATATTACCGCTGTCGCGTAGGGGTGTTTCTAAAATAGGATTCACAGAAAATGTTGGATATGTCCGTTATTGTTGCTTCTGCGTAAAAAATGTTAAAATACTTTTTGTAGGGATTTTAAAGACCAACAATTTTATTAATGTAACATTTTTACCTCAGATCAATATTAAATATGTTATTGACCAAAAACCGAATTGAGGTTTTATCAGAATTTAAATACAAATTTTTATCTTAACCTGATGAATAAGTCCATTATTGTTGAATCTACGTAAAAAATGTATAAATACTTTTTGTAGAAATTTTAAAGACCAACAATTTTGAAAATGTAACATTTTTAAATCAGATCAATATAAAATAAGTTATTGGCAAAAAACCGCATTGACGTTTTTTTCAGAAACTACATAAAAATCCTTACCCTAACCTTATGGATGTCCGTTATTGTTGGTTTTACGTAAAAAAATGTATATTATCTTTATTGTAGAGAATCTAAAGACAAACAATTTTGTTAGTGTAACCTTTTTTCCTCAAATCAATATTAACTAAATTATTGGCAAAAAACGAATAGAGGTTTTTTAGAAACGAAACTAAAATTCTCACCGTAGATCATAATAATGTCCGTTATTGTTGATTCTACGTAAAAAATGTATTAATAATTTTTGTAGGGATTTTAAAGACCAACAATTTTGATAATGTAACATTTTTATCTCGGATCAATATTAAATAAGTTATTAGTAAAAAAACATCATCAAATATGTCCGGTATTGTTGATTCTACGTAAAAAATTTATATTATTTTTTTGTAGAGAATTTAAAAACCAACAATTTTGATAATATAACATTTTTATGTCAGATCAATATTAAATAAGTTATTCATAAAAAATCGCATTGAGGTTTTTTTAAGAACAAAAATTCATACCTTCATCTTATGGATATGTCCGTTAATGTTGGTTCTGCATAAAAATGTATATTATCATTTTTGTAGACAAATTAAAGAGCAACGATTTTGATAATATAACATTTTTACATCAGATCAATATAAAATAAGTTATTGGCAAAAAATCGCATTGAGGTTTTTTCAGAACTAAATAAAAATCCTTATCCTAACCTTATGGATATGTCCGTTATTGTTGGTTTTACGTAAGAAATGTATATTATCTTTATTGTAGAGAATCTAAAGATAAACAATTTTGTTGGTGTAACATTTTTACCTCAAATCAATATTAACTAAATTATTGGCAAAAAAACGAATGGAGGTTTTTTTAGAAACAAAACTAAAATTCTTACCGTAGATCATAAATATGTCCGTTATTGTTGGTTCTACGTAAAAAAGGTATATTATCTTTTTTGTAGACAAATTAAAGACCAACGATTTTGATAATATAAAATTTTTACATCAGATCAATATAAAATAAGTTATTGGCAAAAAACCGCATTGAGGTTTTTTTTAGAAACTAAATAAAATTCTTATCTTAACCTTACGGATATGTCCGTTATTGTTGGTTCTACGTAAAAATGTATACTATCTTTTTTTGTAAACAAATTAAAGACCAACAATTTTAATAAAATAACATTTTTATCTCAGATCAATATTAACCAAGTTATTGGCAAAAAATCTTATCAAGGTTTTTTTTTAAACTTACCTTAAGTTGAACAATCCAATTATCCAGATCATCTTTAAACCAAGGCCTTTTCTGTATAGTCTCAAGTGCCTGACTAAACCCAAAATTATTTGTATGTTCCAAAATATCACTGACAGCTTTCGCCCCCCAATCAAAAACATTCCCCGCCAGGACACCTTTACACAAATCCAACCATTTCTCGTTAAAATCACATATAGAATCAATTTTACTTATTCTATCCTTAAATTCCAGTAAAGCCACACCACTCTCCTTCTCTTTCTGTATGTACCAGGCATCTTTGAAATTATTCGATCTCAGAGTTTCCTCATTGAAATCTAACAAAGTTCTCACACTAAGCGACTTTATTACACTAAAAAAAGTTTATGAGGGCCAAAGAAACGGGGTTATGTTACTTACAAGGGGTCCAAAGTTAGTCTCTCGATTAGCTTGTGAAAAGTCTGGTAGCTCTGTTCGGCCTGCTCCTTGGCTTTGGGATTATCTGGGTTTAAGTCCTCTGCCTTGTTCACAAATTTCTTCACCATTTGTTCCAGGCAAGATAACCAATATTTTCTTTCTTTTATGTTGTTTATTAGGTCCACTGTGTCGGGGTTGTAAGTTTCCGGGTGCCTTAATTGCGGACAAACACATTTTTCCGCGTAGTTCATATTCAACTCAACATTTGTCTGCCAGATTATAAAATTAATGTCTTTGTTTACTTTGCACTGATAAAACGCACACGGAAATTTGTTTTGATAAGTGGTTAATATTCTTCGTATTTTGCGGTAAATTTACAACGTTCAATAAATTATCAACTTGTTTTTAAAATATTTATAAAAATATTGGAAAACCTCCAAGAATTTGACGTTCGAAATTTAGTGACTTTTAATTTTTCACATGACGTTTATTCAAACAAATGTCACCAAAGATAAGTCTCAGCTAATTTACATAACGTTTTTACGCAAATTAATTGCAAGTCATTATGATAAGGAAATTACTTAAGTAAACTCAAAATAATTAGATAAACGCATTAGCAAAGTTTTTATTTAAACAAAATTATTATAGCGTAATGCCAACGTAACAAGATTTATGTTGGTTGCACTACATGCACATAACAAATGACTACATGGTATCGTGACGTCACTTGGTATATGTTTAGCTATTTAAAGTTAATCAAATATTAAATGCAATAATAGTTTTAAATAATAAGTATATAAACGCTGTTAATCTTGAGAACTTTAAGGTTTAAATTGTGCAATTTAGTCGATAACTTTTGCGTTGAAATCGCGGGTATACAGTTGGCATTAGTGGGCTGGTGCTCAGTGCAGGCAACATCGTGACGCGAAAAGTAACCAAATATTTACATCTTTTCCGTTTCGTCCATTTCGACGTTTGCACGTGTTCGCGAGTGAAGGTTTCAAAAATATAATCCTTCAAGATGGGTAAGGGTAATAATATGATTCCGAATGGACATTTCCACAAGGACTGGCAGCGTTTCGTAAAAACTTGGTTTAACCAGCCAGCGCGTAAAGTCAGAAGGCACGAGAACCGCATCAAAAAAGCCAGGTCCATCGCGCCCAGGCCCGCTGGGGGAGCTTTGAGGCCCGTCGTAAGGTGCCCCACAGTCAGGTAAATAAATTGAAATGTCCCTAATCCTCTATGTACAGCCCCTCTTCATTTTAACAATCAATCACATGTGCTTGTTTGTTGTGGGTTATGATAGGTTAAAAAGGTGTCATGTGGTACAAAAACAATCTCTGAGCGGCTAAGGGCACTTGATTTAAATTTTTGCATTTTCCCCTTAAAATGTGGCACTTTTTTCTACATTTATAAACATCCTGTACACAAACATATAAAAGCTGTAAATAGATATTAATGATCTGGGATAAAGTATGTATTATTACAATTAATAGTGTTATAGACATTTACAGTTAATTCACACCAGTTTCTTAAAATAACTATACCAAGCAATAGAGTATGAATATTCTTTTTGACAAGTAGTTTTTAGGTTATTAAGCTTTCAAATTAGCAAAGGTGGGTATTTCCAAAGCAAAAATATCACATTTAAAACTTAAAATTATGGAAACAAAATAAACAAGGAATCTGCAGCTAGCCCAAGTTAACATGGTTGACATATATATTTTCTGACAAATTTTAACTCTTTTAAACGTCCTAAAAAAATATTTTTCATTGTTTTATACATGTTTTCTAAGCCAATTTAAGAGACATCTAAAACCATTTCAAAAGTATTTTCTGACATTTTCGTCAAAAATATTAAGTTATTATTGACAAATTAACTTTTTTTTTTAAAACGTGTTTAGAAAATTAATAATTTGACATCTATCAAATGTCAACAGATTTAAACCTCACTTTTTTCATTTATAATAAAGCTAACTTAAAGCCACTATTGCTAACTTCAGCCTGTGACTAAAACGCCATAAGTCACAGCTAGTCAATGTAGGAGTAGATAAATAATCTTATAACATCAAAATAAGAAAAATAAAGCGCAAATAACAAACTTTATTTTGTATATATGGTATGTATGGCAAAAGTTGTCGTTTTATTGGTTAAGTTGACAATTATTGTAAACATTAAAAATTTTCATGCATAGTACCTATGATACGTAAATAAATAAAAAAGTAAACGATAAAAAAATAATGAAAGAAAACTTAGTTTACCTATATAATTTTTTTTTAATAAAGTTTTTTGATTTTTTATTACAAAGGTTTGCATATTTGTATATGTAACTGAACTACATACATATGTATGTGTACAGGGATTTATATCGGAAAAATGTAATAGTCAATAGAACTTTGTTTTCAAAATTGTTAAAGTGAATAAAAAAAATGGTCACGCCACTGCTTTTTTATGAGTTAGATATTATATTTAGATAAAGCAATTACATTTTTTTTTGTCTTTTGCAGTTTTTTTATCTTTCTTAATTTTCAGGGAAAAAAATAAATTTGTCATGTAGAGTTTTTTATTGACTACTAAATTTTTATATAAATTACATTTTTAGAATTATTTTTAATAAAACTAAATATTCTTTTAAATACACATTAACAAGCTGTAAGTTTATGGCGTTTTAGTCACGGACCGAAGTTAGTTGACAGTTATCAAATGTCATACAATCGTCAAATTGTAAAATAATAGTAAATTTAAAAATTATTTTATTATATCAATTAAAAAAATACAACTACAAATAATTAAACAGTTTCTTCACGACAATCTTTGAAAGGTTTGTCACATAAGACATCCTCTTCACTTTCAATGTAAAAAACTGCTTCTAAATCGGGTTTGAACCGTTGTTAGTCAATTTTAAGAGATAAATTTCGATCTCCACAGAAAAATTAAAAAACTAATTGCCATTTTTAAAGCCGGTATTACAGGTTCACAAGTTAGGTACTCTATTTTTGTATAGATGTCGCTGTATTTTAATATTTAAATTTATTTTCTAGACACTAAGTTTATTTCTTTTATGCAGATTATATTTTTAAATGCTGCATGGTAAAATTAAAAATGGCATAAATACTACATAGAACTAATAATATCTTAATACTCCAAATCACAATTGTATCAAATTTGTGTTTGTCGCGTCAAAAATATTGAACAGGGTTCTTTTGAACATTAAATTGCGTGAAAAAAGGTTTTTAATTTTTACTAAAAGTTTTGATTTAAATCTACATTATTTTATATGCTAATTGTTTAATATTTTTTTTGTTGGTACAATTTGTTCTCTTTAAACAGCATAATATTTTGCATATTGGTTATATTTTTATGATTTTTCTAGTACTTTTCTGGCAATAAATTTTGTTTAACACCAAAGAAAATCCTTTTGTTTCTTCTTTAACATTAGCAGCCGCTTATTGTAAATAAGTAAATTAAGGACGGCATGGCGAATCGATTTTGACATTAACTGTCAAACCAATGACTGTGATACCAACTATCTAAAGTTAAATTCGACCAAATTAAATTTAAGGTATAAAATTAATTTTTTTTATAGAATTTTTGCAAAATAGAGAAAATAGCATAGAGACTTGATACCTTGAAACCTACTTCATAAAAAAAACTTTTTTCGAGCAAAAACAAATACGACCATTATTTGTAGGTACCACACCAAGGTACGCGCCGGCCGTGGTTTCACCCTTCAGGAACTGAAAGCGGCAGGACTTAACGCCCGCTTCGCTCGTACCGTCGGTATCGCAGTTGACAACCGCAGGAGGAACAAATCCGTGGAGAGCATCCAAGTGAACGCTCAGCGGCTCAAGGAGTACAAATCGAAGCTGATCCTGTTCCCCATCCACCAGAAGAAGAAGGTGCGCGCGGGCGAGGCGACAGCCGAGGAGATGAGCAAGGCGACGCAGCTGGAGGGCGCGGTGTTGCCGATACGCCAGCCGGCCATCAGGACCAAGGCGCGCGTGCCCACCGAGGACGAGAAGAAGTTTGAGGCGTACGTGACCTTGAGGCAGGCCAGGGCCGACAAGATGTTGCACGGTATCCGCGCCAAGAGGGTCAAGGACGCGCAGGAGAACCCCGACGACATTTCCAAGGCCGGCAAAGAAAAGAAGTCCAAGAAATAAGTTTATGTTCATTGTTTTATAAAATAACTACGCAAAAAATATAAAATAGGTCTTGTTCCTTCAAGTTTTGGAGTTTTATTTCTCTACGCAAAAAAATACCCAAAAATTTCATGGAATTTTAAAGGGAGTATGTTTGCTAGTATCCCCATAAAATTTCAAGAAAATCTCATTAAATTTGTAGAAGATACAGGCTTTCAAAACTTAGCACCATGGGGTTAACTTTTAAAGCTCTATAACTTTTACAAAATTTGACCGATTTTGATGAAATTTTCATGGTATATTAAACGAAATGCGCTCTTTAAAATAACATTTGCGAAAATGTCGTATTTTTGTTGGTATACCCTGAAAATGGCATTTTAATAGGATGAATTAAATATTTCCAGCCCTGCTGTGATGTTGCGACAGAAATGAACCAAAAAAATTACAATTCACGTTTTTACATTTTCAAAACGCAAAAATGCTTCGTAATTCAAACCAAGCTAAAAATATAAGCGTTGTTACCAAAAAATTGTTTGGTCTGTTTTTTTTGTAAAATTTGCCAATGGCATTTTAAAGAGAGTATGTTTGTTAGTATACCTTTAAAATTTCAGTAAAATCGCATAAAATTTGTAGAAGTTACAGGCTTTCAAAACTTAGCACCATGGGGTTAACTTTTAAAGCCCTGTAACTTTTACAAGAGTTGACCGATTTTGATGAAATTTGTATGGCATATTAAATGAAATGCGCACTTTAAAATAACATTTTCTAAAATGTCGTATTTTTGTTGGTGTACCCTGAAAATAGCATTTTAATAGTGATAATTACGACAGAAATTGGAAACTAGTGTTGCAACAGGAAACTCCAAGATTGTTTAATAAGACACTAGACATTTAGTAAAAATTATTTATTACGCAATGTATATGAAAATATGAATCACAGTACTTTATTACTTACATAAGGCATTTTCATCGTAAAAACTGATATGTTTAAACTATAAAATATAAAAATAACCAATAAAATTAAATTGTTCTTTACATATAATAACTATTTTGGTAATAATGTCGTTTAAAATCCCTATAAAATTAATAATAATTATAATTAAATTAAGTAAAAAAATATATAGATTTTCCCCTATAAAGTTGTGGAAGTGACAGTATTAACCCCATGCACAAAAATGGTTGGTGGCAAATTTCTTGAGATTATTTCGATTTTTTGCAAATAGGAGGTGGCTGTGGAATCCTCACAAGGGGGCTGTGGCAAGTAAATAAAAGTCACCGCCGTCTCCTCAGTTTGTTGCAAAATCAACCGATTCACACTAAAAAATACGAAGTGTTATTTTTATCTTAACATGTCACCAAATGGTGGAAGTTTAGATAGGTTGAAAGGAGGAGTGACTGATTTAGCTTTAAGGGGGCATGTTTAAGATACCCTAAGATTATAGACCCTGAAATCCCATGAAAAAAGGTTTCAGTGTTAGCTTTTTCCACATTTCTTCCTCAATCACGAAATATAGATGGTTTATTAAAAGTACTGAGATTTAGAGCCCAACGTGTCTTACCTGTGTAAGTACTCATCAGTGTTGCCATGTTGTTCGATGGTATTCGTCCAACCGCTGACTGGAAAAAGCTCAGCAGTTATACGCAAAGTTTTGAGCAGATGTTTCAGCTTGTCCGATTGGCTCTGAGACGTGGAATTAATGCTAAAATACGAATGACGAGATTCGTCGCAAATGCAAACTCTCAGTTTCAATTTGCTCCACTGTTTGCACATGTTCGCTATGCAAGACAGTTGCATCATGAAAAGCGAGGTTGTGTCGAAGGCGTCGTGTTCTCCGGGGTGCAAGAAATTCACCGGCCAAACGTCGATGTACTGAGTAAAACCGCTAAAATAGAAACAAATGTCAAAATATTGCTTTTCACTTGTTTGTTGTAAAATTTGTCAATGGCATTTTAAAGAAAGTATTTTTGTTGACATACCCTTAAAATTTCACAAAAATCGCATTAAATTTGTAGAAGTTACAGGCTTTTAAAAGTTAGCACCATGGGGTTAACTTTTAAACCTCTGTAACTTCTACAAGAGTTGACCGATTTTGATGAAATTTTTACGGCATATTAAATGAAATGCGCTCTTTAAAATAACATTCGTGAAAATGTCGTATTTTTGTTGGTATACCCTGAAAATAGTATTTTAATTGGATGAATTAAATATTCCCAGCCCTGCTGCGATGTTGGGACAGAAATGAACCAAAAAAATTACAATTCACGTTTTTACATTTTCAAAACGCAAAAATGCTTCTTAATACAAACCAAGCCAAAAAAAATAGGCGTTGTTTGTTACCAAAAAACAGTTTGGTCTGTTTTTTTGGAAAATTTGCCAATAACATTTTAAAGGGAGTATTTTTGTTAGTACACCCTTAAAATTTCAAGAAATTCGCATTAAATTTGTCGAAGTTACAGGCTTTCAAAACTTAGCACCATGGGGTTAACTTTTAAAGCTCTGTAACTCTTACAAGAGTTGACCGATTTTGATGAAATTTTTATGGCGTATTAAATGAAATGCCCTTTTTAAAATGACATTTGCGAAAATGTCGTATTTTTGTTGGTATACCCTGAAAATAGCATTTTACAATTTTGGTTGATACTTGATACTTTTTCCGTATGGACTTTTGTCATTTAATCAAATTAGTACATGTTCTTACCGCTTCTGATCCTTCTTAAGTTTCCAGAAATTCCTGCACAAACATAAATTTTTCTTCATCCTCAAAACATCCTTCATCATCTGAACGTACTCCAAAGGTTGCAGGGTTTTTTGAGTACTCAACGGGAAAATATCGTTATCGAAATCGACACTTTGATAGGAAGAATTCGAGCTAAAAAAAAATTTGAATATTTTTTTTTTGTATTTTATACTATCGTACCTCTGCAGAAAATCTATGGGCTCATCGGCGTCCAAGAAGCCCAGACACACAGTGTTGGGCTTCATGGCGCCCATACCGGACAACCGCATCAAATGTTGCAAACCGTCGCGTACAGATGGCGCCACGGTCAACTCTACGAACGCTTTCACTTTCAGGTGGTCCACAAGGTTCAACCAGTGCACTGTCGTGCCTAAAAATGAGTTAATAACAACGCTGTAGATTCTAAAGCGTGTTTTTTCTTACCTAAAGTGGGATCAACTTCATTTTCTTCTGGTGAATCTGTCACCACATGCCCCAAAACAAAAAGACCGCCTTTCTTGAGGTCGTTTATAAAATCGATTAGGGGACAAGCCGATCTAGGACTATTCACCAACAGCAACATCTGAGGTCGCCAAAATTTGACGTGGTCTTTGCGCGAGTCCAAAAGCAACAAATACTTTCTAACCTGGTGGAAAATCAGAGCCTGCGAAATGCTCCCCCATTGCGCCTGTTTGGAAGGCGAAAAGAAGTGCAAAAACATCACCAACAATACACACAACAGGATGCTGCAAGCCGCGTACACTGGACTGATCACGAACATCATTATTATCGTGCCTATCAGCCCTATTGCAGCGGTGTGCCACGTGAAGTAGTCGAACGTGGGTCGGAAATTTGGCGCCCCCGCCAGCTCTAACCCCAGACAAGCCAGATTTGTAGCCAGGTAACTCAACAAGAACAGTACAGAGTTCAACTGAGCTATAACGTTCAGAGACTCGATCAGCAGGACTAATTGTACCAGAATCGCCGATAAAATGACGGCCGCTACAGGGTTGCCGTTCCATGTTCCTTTAGGGATGAAGGACAGAAACGAACCTAGAGAATTCATTGCTCAGTTTAATTTTTTGTAAAATTTCTTAATGGCATTTTAAAGAGAGTATTCTTGTTGGTATACCCTAAAAATTTCACGAAAATCGCATTAAATTTGTAGAAGTTGCAGGCTTTTAAAACTTAGCACCATGGGGTTAACTTTTAAAGCTCCGTAACTTTTACAATAGTTAACCGATTTTGATGAAATTTTCATGGTATATTAAACCAATTGAGCTCTTTAAAATGACATTTGCGAAAATGTCGTATTTTTGTTGGTATACCCTAAAAATAGCATTTTAATAGGATGAATTAAAAATTGAGATGTTGGGACAGAAATTAACCTAAAAATGTCAAATTTAAGTGATTCTGTTGATTCATTGTTTTCTTTGGTTAATCAAGTTGCGTTGACAAAAAACTGCTTGGTCTATTTTTTTGTTAAATTTGTTAATGGCATTTTAAACAGAGTATTTTTGTTGGTATACCCTTAAAATTTCACGAAAATCGCATTAAATTTGTAGAAGTTACAGGCTTTTAAAACTTAGCACCATGGGGTTAACTTTCAAAGCTTCGTAACTTTTACAAGAGTTGACCGATTTTGATGAAATTTTTATGGTATATTAAATGAAATGGGCTCGTTAAAATGACATTTGAAAAAATGTCGTATTTTTGTTGGTATACCCTAAAAATAGTATTTTAATAGAATGAATTAAAAATTGTGATGTTGGGACAGAAATTAACCTAAAAATGTCAAATTTAATTGATTTTGTTGATTTATTGTTTCCTTTGGTTAATAAAGTTGCGTTGACAAAAAATACTGCTTGGTCTATTATTTGGAAAATTTGTTAATGGCATTTTAAAGAGAATATTTTTGTTGGTATAAAATTTCACGAAAATCGCATTAAATTTGTAGAAGTTACAGGCTTTATAACTTGGGGTTAACTTTTAAAGCTCCGTAACTTTAACAAGAATTGACCGATTTTGATGAAATTTTCATGGTATATTAAACGAAATGAGCTCTTTAAAATGACATTTGTAAAAATGTCGTATTTTTGTTGGTATACCCTAAAAATAGCATTTTAATAGGATGAATTAAAAATTGTGATGTTGGGACAGAAATGAACCTAAAATTTTTGTTGGTATGCCCTAAAAATTTCACGAAAATCGCATTAAATTTGTAGAAGTTACAGGCTTTCAAAACTTAGCACCATGGGGTTAACTTTCAAAGCTCCGTAACTTTTACAAGAGTTGACCGATTTTGATGAAATTTTCATGGTATATTAAACGAAATGCGCTCTTTAAATTTACATTTCCCAAAATGTCGTATTTTTGTTTCCTTACCAAATATTCTATCTTTGGCCAACGCCTCCACAACCCTTGAAGCTCCTATAACGTTACTAAGAGCTGCAGACCACGAAGCTATCAGTAAACCAAAAACGACGCTTGCGGGGAAAACGCTGACCCCAGCCATGAAAATATAATCGTTCTGTAGTAACTCTTTTGTGCTTGTGGCCGCTATCAGAAACGAAACGGTCAGATATATCACCAAAGTGAAGACGCAAGCTGAGAGAGTGCCTCTTGGTATGGCTTTGCCCGGATTTTTCAGCTCTCCTGAGGAAAAAATATTTCTATAAAGGCAAAAAAATGTCAAGTGTTTATTTTTTTACCGCTCATATTGGCTCCCGCCATAATTCCGGTAACACCGGAAAACAACACACCGAAAACGGAAGCGAACGTCACCAAGTCGCCGTTGGAATTGTAATCTTTACCGTAGTGAGGGAAAATGTTAGATTGCAACGTTGCCGAACTTAACCCCGTGTAGTTTGCCGTCACGTGAAACGTCGCGTTTTGTATTAAAGTGTTTTGATCTGGAATTGGTACCTAAAAATCACCTTTTGATATCCTAAGAAAGAACCCATATAAAAAGCATTACCTCCAGAAACCCTTGGTAGAAAAATGAAAACACTACAACCCCCAAGCAACCAGTCACTATTGCCAACACGAAAACCGAAGTTTTCGCGAACAATCCAGCCCCGATAAGACACACCACAAGATTTAACATGTTTATACCGCTGCAGTATAAAAACTCCCACCATCTTGAATCAGGCAACAAACCTTTTACCAAGTACCCTAAAAACGATGGTTTTAGGTCAAATGGTAAACTTTGTTAAAATATAGACCTGTAGGTCCAAAATTAGTCACTATTCCTTCCACACAACCTGTAATATTTAAGGCACTGTTTACAATGTTTGCTAAAAAAAATAACGTTCCTATAGAACCGCCAAATTCTGGCCCTAGGGTTCTAGAAATCATAACTAAGATTGTTAAGAAAAAGTAGCATGATAATAAAGCTATTTTTTAATAAAAAAAATTATCTACAACTTTTTTATTTAGCATTTTTTCTTTTAATAATTTTTAGAGGGTCAAAACATAAAAAAAAATTTTTTTATTGTGTTTTAAATTGTAAATAAAATTTAAGAACTAAATCGTTGCATTTTCATGTTTTGCCAAAGGATCCAATTCGGTAAGTACATTTGTTGGTGCAGAATTAACTAATGATAACTTTACCTAATATAATTTATATTTAGGTTTAGATATTTTTATGAAATTAGTAAAAAATTATTTTTGCACAAACATAACCTTCAAATCAACCATTTTTATATTTGAGTTCTCTAAAAAACGCCGACAACTGCATTTTAAACAGCAAAATATACCTAGGTACGAATGGTATTTTACCGTTGAGTGGAGACTTTCTTAATCAACGCTTTTAATAATGCTAAATGCTGTTTAAATTTAGGCGACTTATTTGTTTGACGATTTTTACTGAATTGAAATGTTTACACTTTTCACGTTAATCACTACTAAAATGTGTATTTATTGTATCTAATAGGTACAATTTATATTCAAAGAGACTGTATGCAATTTATTTCTTCATTCGGATTAACACTGTTTATTGGAAAACCGGTAAAAACTCAACCCAGGATTTCCTTTCGAAAATACAAATCGTGCCACGGTTTTTTTTCGATATTTTTTAACATTTTCCGGCTTTATTCTCGCTAGTAGCGATACTTAGTTTTAATTAGTTATTCCTTTGTTAAATGTTTATATAAGCTGTTGAATTATTTATTTAAATTACGCATAAATACCTACTATGCATTTGAACTACTGCAGTTGCCACTTCCTGCCGCATTCCCAAAGCGCCAAATTAATTTAATGTGAAGACATAAAATTAATTATATAATATTTATTATGTTAAGTCATAATTTTATTTGTATAAAAATGGTTGTCATGTTATAAACTTAGAAAATAATGGTATAAAATAAATTCCAAAGTAAAAAAATAAAGAACCTCAAAAGAAATAAAAATAAAATTTAAATAGGGCAAATATTAATTCAACTAACAAAATAATGTGTAAAATGTTTAAAAATATTTGTCAGGTACAATATTTAAATGTTAAACAAAAATGCGTATAAAATTAAAATAAAAATAATTATTATTATGCCTAGACAATAATAATTCGGTATTTTTCCTATCTGTTTGAATTTGAATTAAATTTATGCATAATTAAAATTACAAAAATTTATATACACCATAATTTTAAAAATAAAAAGTGGAATGGCGTGCCATACAAGATAAAATTATTAATTTTTTTTTCTTTATTTTTTTTGTATGTCAGATTCATAAATAAAAAAACAAAAATTCATTACCTACTTCTTATAAAAACTTAACCATTTTAAATAAAAAAATAAATAAATAGTGAAATATTTTTTACAATATTTATACCTTTCCTCTACAATTTTATCAATATTAAGGATACAATAGGCTCCACCCCCTTCAACGGCCCCATTTGTAGATATAGCACAAACCGACATCACTGTAAAAACCAATATAGCATAGGCTATAGCAAATTGTGCCAATGTAACCAATAACCCAGCATTTCCCACAATAAAACCTAAAAAAAACAACACATACATAGCAACTAATAATCATATTTTGAGTATTACTCACCCATTCGAATAAAAATTAGAGCACTAAACATGGACAACGTAACAGGGCTGAAAACCCCTGAAAAAGTCCCCAACGTCCTCGTTTCGGACTGCTCGTGGAAGGAGCTGAATTGCACGTAACTAGGGCCCCCATCGCTTACAGATTGGCTCGGCTGTCGGTTAAACATACCAGATATTTTACGAATGATGTTACTTTGCACCAGAGACTCATCGGGGAGCTCCGAATTCGTTGAACCCACTTCCGGTGCCAACATCTCACCAACAAACCGTTTTCAATACATATTATCTAATAAGGAAGTCAAAAAGGGGAGTTTTTATGTTTCTAACCGTCTATAACAAAGAGTGACAGTTATTGCGCTCATCAGCTGTTTCGGACATTTGAACTACTAACACTAAAACGAAATTAAGATTTACAACGGTTTTTACTGTTTTTAAAGTGATTATAATATTCTTTACATACAAAAATGTAAAGGTTTATGTTCATAACTCAGTACAAAACATAATAAGGGGTTTTTAAGGCAAAAAAACATTACATTTTGAGGTTAGTAGTTCCATATGCATGTTTACAATTTTGACAGTTGTCAAACAAAGTTTGTTTTGCATTTATAAACAATTTAAAGCATTATGGCAGAAGATATGGACTCAGACGGCATTACAGACTCACCAAAAAAAGGTTTATACTCCATATTCTCCAAAAAATCGCTAAATATAACATTCCAGGACCAACATTATCAACATCGACTTCAAGTTTTGAAGCCCTAGATCCTCATGACCCGAATTTAAGCAAATTAGCGAATAACATGTTCAGTAAAACTTCCGAGTATTTGTATGGGGAGTTAACGTCCACCCTGGACGATTACAGATTGTTGGAAAACATGAATCGAGCAACGATTACAAAGTATTCAGATATGAAGCACATAGCTGGCAATGTGTCGAAAAGTATGGCGGAATTGAACGAAAAATGTATGGGTTATGTTTTTAAAGAGTGTTATTATAAATTTGGTGATTTTAGATGAGAGTTTGGCGCCTTTATTACAGCAAATCGACCAAATAGAAGACAGCGTCGTCAAGTTGGAACAAGCTGCATACAAACTGGATGCCTACTCTAAAAGGCTAGAAGCCAAGTTTAAAAATCTCGAAAAACGTTAGTTTATGTAAAGTATATTTTGTAAATAAAGTGTTATAAAGTTTTAACAGTTTTTTTCTAGTAATTTTTTAAACTCTTCCTCTTGTTTAATTCTTCTTTCTTTCTGTTCAATTTCGATTTTTTCTTTGATTTTTATTATTCTTTCTTTGTCAACGCAGTCTATGAAGGAGTTGGCCAGTCCTTGGCATTTTATTGAGCAGTCTGGGTTTCTTTGCAGGCATTTTAGAAGCTAAAATCAGTTTTGCATGAAAATAGTATATTATGTATCAAGTTTGATAAACGCCATTTTATACACGAATTTAAGTTAATGAGTGTATAGAAAAGTTTATAAACGAGGTGCATACTATACCTACTTTTTCTACGACAAATACTTATTATTATCTTAAAATGATTTAATCAAAAATTTGTATAGAGCGCCATCTATGAAACAACAGGGGAAACTGTCAAATGTCACATTTTTACATTTTATAAAAACAATTATAAAGGTTATAAATCGAAATGCATCTTGAAAATTGACAGTTTTTCACAGTGAAAGTAAAGGAAATGTTTTATGAGGACTTTACAGTAGAGTCCGTGTCCGAATTTAAGTTATAGTTTACTGCCGGCGAAATTAAAAGGTCAGTACATATAAACTTTTCAAATATTGGCGTTGAGAAACTTTTTAATATTTTTGTATTTTTGTATTGAGATAATAAAATAATTTTCACATTTAGTATTATTTTACAAGAAAGGCACTTTATTTTAACGATTGTACCGTGGCCGACACGGAATTTTGAACGACTATCATCCTGTTGACATCAAAATCTAAACTTTCTTTTTGGACAACTAACCTTACTTTCGGTTATCACTAGTATTGTAATTTTGACAGCGAAAGCAAAAATGCTCAATATTGTATCTTTGCTATTTACAGATGTATACATTGACAACCAAGTTATGTCGTTCAAAATTCCGTGTCGGCCACTGTATGAAATTTGACAACTGTCAACTAACTTAAAACTAACTTCAGCCCGTGACTAAAAACCTGTTGCTAACTTCAGCCCGTGACTAAAGCGCCGTAAAGCCACAACTTGTCAATGTGTATTTAAAAGGTCACTTAGTGTCATGGAAACATGTACGATAAAGGGCGTTTTAAAGGTGGGAGTAGAAAAAATACTTTAAATCGGTAATTTTTGACAGTTGAAAGTTAAAAAAGTCCTTTTTTAATTAAAAACAAACATGACACATGTTTTGACAACTTTTAAATTTATAACAATGTTGCCGGATGTACAATATCAACGCTCCTGAGGGAAATTCGATAGGCAACCCATTTTACATTAAAATAAGTGATTTAAATATTAGACAGAGCGACTCAAAACTTGTTCAAGTTATTATTAGATATTTAATTAAAAAATATATGTTTAGTTTTAACGACAATTTGCATATTTATATATGGTTATAAAGTTTAATATAGTCGCGGCCAAATCTGTATGGGTGCACGTCATCAACGGCATATGACGTCAGCGTTAAGGTCTATTCATACGTGCCCAGACACAATCTAACGCTCGTGTATTGTTGACTGTTTATAGCGGTGGGGGCTGTTATTAAGATGGAATTATAACATCCTTGTTATAATCTTCTGCACTAACTAATTAGGAGTTTGTTACAGGCAAATTTTTATTAAATGTATTTAAAGAGAAAACAAACGGAGTTTATTACATTTTTATTACATATGCACATAACAAAAAAATAATAAATTATCAGAAACACAAAAATAATAAATTACCAGTCGTCCTTGTCATCAGAGCAAACCAGGTCAGAATTAAAGTCTGATTATTTCCCCAAATTTATTATTAAGGGCGCAATGTCTTCGAAATCTAATAACGGCTAGTTGCCAACAAGCCTTATATCATTGTTTGCACAATCCAGGGATAGAATCTTATAACCATAATGTATAATATTATTTATAATAATTTGCAACAAACGATGCTTCCGGACGAAATGTCACAATTACAAAAATACGTCAAATATAAAATGACAGCGACCCATCAATAATATTGAACGGTGCGCGCCAGCCTTAAGCTATTACCAACTGGCACACACAAAAATTACTAAGTGAATGGTTTTATTTTGATAATTTCTTGAAAAAACGTTTTAAAACAAGGAAATTGTTACAGTTTTTGGTAAACAATACGCAAATGAATGATTTCTTTTTAATAACACATCAGAATTACGCCTTAAAAAAGCAAATTTAACGGCAGTAACTTTATAATTCAAAGTTGGTAATGCTGACGTCATTATATCTCATTGATGACGTGCACCCATATAGATTTGGCCGTGACTATATAATAATTTATATTATAATAATAGAATTTTAAATTTGACAACATTGTAAACATGACAACTTTGAAATTTGACAGTTCTAAGCAATGTTTGTTAAATTTAACACTATAAAGTAGTTTTTCTGTGCCTAAATGTGCTTAAATGGTGAATTATATTTATTTGTATCAAAAATTTAATTTTTAAGTTGGTAGGTACCTACCTGATTCTGGTTGCAAGGCATATTGTAAGTGATGTGTATCTGAGAAGAAACTTTTTCGTATAGCGCCTCAAAATCTTCCTTCGTCAATCCATTTTCTATGCTGTGCTTTTCGTCGGTACATTTTAGCATTCGGATTATTTCGCAGTCGTCCAGTTCACATTCTTGGTAGACTGGTTCTGGGGGGCAAAAATTTTCCTCTTTTGCTTGCTTTTCAGACGCTATTTCTTGAGGTGCTTCTTCTTGTTGGGGGTGCTCCTCTTTTGGGGGAGTTGGGGGTGCGTTGCTTTTGTCTTGTACCGCTTAAAATTAGTTTTACGTGATGTAGTTTTTTTATTAAAGAAATACTTTTTTATTTACCTACCAGCCAGTCTTTTAATACATTCTTCCGATAATTCCACTACACTTTGGTAGGGCGGTGTAAAACTTTCCATTTTGTATGAATAAAATGCTGATTTGACAATTTTGATTACCTACGACATTTGACAATTTCAAATATAGGTACAGGGTTATGTATGATTAATATCGTAAACTGAATTTTCTTTGTCATTTTAAGTTTTTAATACAACAGGCATATACAGGATGTTTCACATTCGTAGTCCATTAGAAGTTATAACCAAAGATATCTTTGGTTATAACTTATGTTATGATTATAATCATTAAAATTTGAGAAATGCGTGTAAATAAAAAATAGCCTGTAACTTTTTTGTTATTGAGTTTGCAAATATAAGGGTGATATTTTTGGAATCTTAAAACATTGTTTAAAAGATTCCTTGTAAATTCTTTAAAACATTTTAACAAATTACATGAGAAAACTAGGGCAAATTAAAAAGTTTATTTTACTATAGTAGAATATATTCTCCTTACATTAAGTTAATAATTCATAGACATAACAATATCTAAAAATTAACATTAACGAACAGTAAATTAACCAAGATTAAAATATTTTTATTTGTGTAGGATTATTTTTGGCACAATTTTATAAAAAAAAATAGTAATAAATTCATTCATAAGTACAATAAATGTCATAATTATACAAGAAGGCGTAAAATATTAAATAATAACTTATTCAAATAAGTATGTCTATTGTGATTTTTTTGTTGAAAAACTCATTTACTCATAATTGCATTCATTAAAGTATTTAATTACAAATCAAATAGGTACTTATCCTTAGCATAATTTTGTGTTTGATTACCATTAATATAAATCATTATGTAAATATTATATTATAAGCTATAATTTCATCACTATTTTAGTTTTTTAATTGTTTTTATTTTATAATCGAAAACCTTGTATATGGTTTGAATAAATTTATAGGTTTATTTGTGAAATAATAAATTTAGAGATGCTTAACATAATAATTTGAAAAAAGTTCCAGAAATTCCCAGAAAATGAAACCTATGTAAATTTTAAGATAAAACTTGTTTAAAAATTTATGTATTTTAAGCATAAAATTAATAAATTAAGCAAATTAGAATATTTTGAATTAAGTTTAATAAACGCGATTTTCCTCAAGAATTTTAATAAAGCACGAGCTAGTATTTAATATATTGAGTGTTTTTATATTTTATAACTACTATTAATTTTGATAATCATGATTGATTATCCATACATATCCTTAATTAAATTTACCACAAAATATAAAACGTTTAACTTACTATAAGTATTAATTTTTTTATTTAACATTAAACTCGCGGATGTAGTTAGGAATATCCCAATTACATTAGAACACGTTTTTTCTCTAATTTCATTAGAATTACAATAAAATCCATTAAAAAGAATAATTGCTAACAAAATTGCTAAACAAAAATTAACATATCCACAGAAGATTCTCAAGACATTAAGAATAGTGGTATTGGGTATAATTTTTAGATTAGGTAGCGCTTGACATTAAGGAAGATCATAGGAACAAATAAAACAATTCAGATCTGATCGAAATTCCTAAAAAAAGTAAATATTTTGTTAAATTAACTTTTGAAGTAAAACTTTTTTTAATAAATTTTATTTATGTTATTTTTACCTATTTTAATAACCCATACTTTAAAGTAATATGAAGGACGTAGTTTTTACGGAAGAAAATTGCTTATAAGAGTATTTCACCTAAAAGAAAGTTTAACGGTAATTTTAACGTCAGAATTTTTACTTAATGGTAAATGTTACTCATAAGTCATAATTTTACGATATTCAGACCACTTTATAACCGTAAATAATTCCTATACGCCTGGTATTTTTTGGGGTTATTAGTGGTAATAAATACTTTTAATATTGACTAAACAAGGAAAACTAAGCTTAAAGTGAAAAATATTTTTTTTTCAGGTCGCCAAAATGAGTTTTTTAAGATGGCATCCATTGTATATAAACATTTATATAATATTTTTCCAAAATATAATAAGGAAAGTTTTAGTTATTAAAAAAATGATTAAAACCAAAGATTATTAAAAATTTTGTAGGTTTTAGGTTTAAATATTATTAGTTTTGTCAATTTAAGTTATTTTTTTTAAATTTTACTCTAGGGTGGCCTTTATTACTTTGTAAGTACAATTTTGTAAAATCCAAATTAAAAGAACAAAGAAATTACGAATGTCAATGTTTTAGAAAGAGAGACCAAACAGTTATTAACGTTATTTTTTTTTTTAATAAATATAGGTAATAAATTTAATAAAATAGGTAAACTATATTTTTTGTTTACCAATTTATTTGGGAAGATTTTTAACCGGTTATTTCATTTCTTTTATAATTTTTATGATTCATTTTTGACCTTTAGATATGTTACAAAAATAACTTTTTTGGAATAGGAGGTTTTAAAATATAGTACATAGATTTATACTAAATGGTTAATCCCTATAGAGATGTGGTTTCACCATTCTACAATCATATACCTAGTTTTTAATAATTTTTGTTTAAAATGGCCAATATTATAGCCACTGTATTGTGTAAATTAAAAATAACAACATAAATAAATCGTATAGTTTTTATACGAGGTGAGTAGACCTTGAAGTCAATTTCACGTGGTTTGATGGGCAGCCACTTCCTGGTGCATCAGAGATGATGATGGGATGTAAAAAAAAATTAAATTGGAAATTTAATTTTTGATTTCTTAATCTTCGGTTCAGAGGTTTTGTAATGAAATCAGTTTTAACATCAGCCTAAGTAAACAACATTTTTTTACAAAAAAATTGTTTGTTTCTTGATATTTATGGTTTCCTAACCACATATTTCACTCCCAAAAGATTTGTTGCATTGTTTGGTCAAAATGTAAATGAAGATAATTTACATATTTTTTTCAAATTTGAGAAAAATATTTTTCTCGAAATATTGTTCAGTGTAATTATGTCGTCACGATTTTCATTTGTTTGTTCACCTATTACGCAGCGCGTACGTCAAAATTAACGATGATCTTCACGGATATCTAGATATCCGATTCGATTTTGTTCGTTTTTTCTCAGGTGCTTCTTCGATTTGATGCTGTTTGTGGGGGGGGAGTAGTCAGTTTGTTGGGTATATATATTTATGGTTAAGTGGTTTTATTAATAATTTAAATAAATTCGTCGAATAAATACCACGCATATTTATATATAATAAAAGTGAAAAAATTTTTGGTGGTGAAAAGAAGAATTTTGATAGTGAGCTGTGATAATGAGAAATATTTTTGTGGTAAGTAGTTTTCCTCCATTCTGTTTTTTAATTGCTAAAAATTTTTATATAAATAATTAGGTAATTAATAATTTTTTGTAACAAAAATAAGAAACACATTTATTATTGTTATTATTATTTTTTTGCCAATATAAAATATGCTTCCAAAAACAATATAATTTTACTTCCTAAAGTTCTTTTACTTTAGAATCTGATATTATTTTTAGCATAGTTATCTTTTTATATCGATATTATATAATAATTAACAAGTAAATTATCAATAATAAATATTACTGTCAATTTGACAGTGTCAGAGAATTTAATTAAGGTCTTCAGCAGAAGTACCATTTTTAAATACTAAAAATACTACCAAATAAAAAAAATTATAAATTTATATAATAATATATAATTATATAACACACTTTATTCTAAGAATGTTTTTTAAACCTTCCAGTGAGAATATTCTTAGGATCATACTATATTTATTCTAAAGAACATGCTTAAAGGACATATAGCGTGATCCTAAGAATATTCTTACTGCCCTATAGGCAGGTTCTTAGAAGGTGCAAAGTTTTAGTGGTAAAAATTAGTCTACTCTAAACATAATGCTTAGAATGTTAAGAAAGTAATTGCTATAGAAAGTTCATTTAGGAATATTCCTGTTAAGCATACGAGTATTTAGTTCAGTTACCTATATAATAGTAAAATATACCATAAACTACGTATAAAGGTATATACCTATACTTAAGTAACTAATTAGTAATTAGTATTAAATACTAAGTAAAAAACACAATCCAAAATATTTTTTTATAGTTATTTGTCAAATTAAAACAATATTCGATAACAAAAATACTTTTACTATAGGTATTTTATGTTATGTTAAAAATAAATATTTATTAATTTGTATACCGATTTTTTATTTCTAAATTAACATTTTTATGTATAATAATATAACTATCTTCAACTTCAATCTAATTTTACTTTTTATGAAATAATGTCATACAACTAATGGTTTAGAGGTCAAATTGTTTATTTAATATTTTTAAATAAATATATATTAATATGTCGCAAAATTTTTTAAGGGGACGACAAATACATTTCACTGTCATATTATGACAGTGAGGTGTATTTGTCGTCTCCTGAAGAATTTTACGAATGTAAATACAACATATTAGAACTTGGGTATCGGACATATTTGGAAATATTCTCAAAAGCTTCCTAGAAGCTCCATAAGAAGCCTTCTAAGAACATTCCAAAAAAGTATTCTTAAAATGTTCTTAGGATGCTTTTTAGGAAGGTTTTAAGAAGCTTTTAAGAATCTAATTGCATCATTAAAAGGGTATCTATTGAATGTTTTAAAAGTCCCTAAGAACATTCTTAGCAATAAGGGAAGGTTCTAAGAATATTCCATTATTTCGGGTCATATCTTCGTAGAAGATTCTTATAATCAAATTTTGCTATCAGGGCTTAGATACTAAAATACTTTTAAAAATATAGATTTTAAGTTCAAGTATAATACAAAATATTTATATGTAAAAGGTTATAGTTCAATTTTAGAAATATTTGTTGAAACCTGTTTAAAATCGAACAACAAATAAGTATAATAATTAAGGAATATATTACAAAAGATGCGGCAATGTCACGGTTAACATCATCATCAAGAACATCCTGGTCAATTTTGAGATGTAAATTTTTTTATTTTGCTATAAGTAACTATTATAAACATAATATAGGTAATCAAAGAATATTTTTATTTGTGTGTTAATTATAATGGTTCTATTATGAGAAAGCTATACAATTTAAATATTTAAATTTATTTGAATACATATATTTTTTCTCAGAATCGTCTTCAAAATTGATGGATACGTACGTAATACGTATACATAACTAATAAAATATATGACCTTATTTTTGTTCAATCATTCATATAAATATACAAATGAACAATTTATTCAATTTTACACAATAGTATTAGTCATCATTTATAAATCAAAAATCTTGACTTAAACTGTGGCTGATTTTAGTAATGTTTATTTATAACGACATGTATTTGTAGACTGCACTTTTGTGCCTCTCCTACACATATGCTGCCGAAATAAGACTTCAGAACCTGGACCCTCCAGAAGCCCAGCAAATTATAGACCAACAAGACACTAGTTTGAATTACGCTCCAAAAGTTGAATCCAGCGTTCCTGCTATAAGGTTTTTGGGTAATGAACCTCATCATGTCTTGGAGGACATTTACCTGGCCAAACAGTATCATGGTCAAGACGGCTTAGGAGGGTACCTCTACGGGTACAACGTACCCGATATCTCCAAAACTGAACGGAAGAAGGCTGGAGGAGATTTAAGAGGGGCATACAACTATATTGCAGGAAATGGACAAGAGATTAAGGTAGGATAAACCACATAGTTATTGGATACTTTACCCTATGTGTTTTTATTGGAAATTTCACATCGTCTAAAATCTATTTACATAGGTTGAATATTGGGACGATGGTACAGGTTTCCACCAAATCGATAACGTGCCCAAAATTTTGCCCAAGCAAATCGACGATCTACCAGCCGTTAAGGCCGCGAAAGATGAACATTTGAGGTTGTGGAAAGAGCAAGCCGAAAGAAACTCCAAACCCATAGAGTATGTCTAAGTGTTTTTGGGTTAAGGAGTTTGTACTAATTTTGTTTTTCCCATAGAAGCCCCTACGACAGTCACGGTAACTACAAAAGTGGTCCACTCTCGGCTCAAGGGCAAGCTGAACGGGCTCAACAATTTGCCCAACAGCCACAATATCAACAACCTCAAGGCCAATACCAACAGAGCCAAGGACAATATCAACAACCTCAAACTCAATATCAACAGCCTCAAGGCCAATACCAACAGAACCAAGGTCAATATCAACAACCAGGTCAATATCAACAACCTCAAGGCCAATATCAACAAAACCAAGTCTCGTATCAGCAGCCCCAATACCAAGGAAGTCAATCCCAAGTAAACACTCAATACCAGCAAGCCCCAGGGGCTCAAAAGCCTCAAGCAACTCAGTACCAAGCAAGTGCCTCTCAACAATCGACTCAATACCACCACGCTCTTCCGGTTCAACCTCTGGAAGCCACAAACAACTCTGTAGGTGATCGGGATGAGTACAGTGGTCAAGATTCGCAGAACAAAAATGTCTACGCCCAGCAAAATCAGCAAAACGATGGTGAGGATGATGGAAGCTACAGGGCGGAGCAAAATGATGAACCTACCGGACCACCGAAAGGTTTCTTCTACAGTTTTGATTATCCAGTGGGGATAATTGTTGACAAGCAAGGCAAGGCTGATTTGCCAGGTGGTCAAGGGAACGTTCACGACGTCTACCAACAAAACAAATCGAATTTCGAACAGCAGTTGAAGGCTGGAACTGGAAATGGACAAGCATACACCTACTCTCATTGATGATTTAATTATTAGTATTTATTGTGATTTTTTGGTTTAAGAATACACTTTTTTGTATAGTTTCGAGTTTTATTTCATTTTAAGGTGTGATACAAAAAAAGGGACTCTGATGACCATTGAACTTCTTCTTACAGGTGTGCGTAAAGTTTGGAAATTGTGGTGTTTCCTATTCAGGACACGTAAGAGGACAAAGCTCTCCATTGGTCCGTGATATACTTGTGACTCTTGTTTCTTGTGTTGTACTCATATTGTCGGTGAATGATTTCCATCTGAAATTCAAAAACATTGAAAAACGCACTGCACTGGAAATACATCCAATAAACTTCAACGTACTACCAACTGGTAACCTTATACCTTTGTTTTAGCATTTTTCTGGAATTTTTGTTTAGGACGACAAAAATAACGAAAATGAACAATCCGTAAATTGCATTGCAGAAGTCTGTGACCACATAAATTTCTGTCGGGAGGGTTGTGTATTCCTTAAGTGCCCATGCTAAGGTTTCCAATATCCAGTTTAAACCCATGGCAAGGATTAGCTTCATGTACAGATGAATCCTAAAGAAGCAATTTTTGCTATTTCTCACTATAAAATTTAACAGTTCGTTCAATAAGTCTATGCCCTAATAAAATGATTTTTTGGTCACTGTGGACTAGATCTGGAGAGGCAGGAGTCTAGACCATAGACTTATTGAACATCGAGTAACTTACATTTTAGTATCAGAAGTCAACGTATTATCACCTTTCTTTAACATGGTGGTTTCCTGTTTTACTTTCCTTATTTTAAAGGCTGTTACAACAAAAAACGTTGTGTTCATAATTAGCAGTATAGCCATGGGTCCATGCAAGTATAGTAAATAGGGCAGTCCCTCTAAAATTATTTGATTAGTGATACTTTTAATAAATGATGATTGTTAATGCTTACTTTGAAGAAAACAATAGTACCCGCCAATTCCTGGGTAGTATGATTTTTCTGGATCAACAATTGTATTTATAACAAATACAATTAAAATTAATACAGAGGGCGCCAAAATCGCATACGCGCTATAGGCGATAAATCTTTTGCTATTCTTATACCTCATTCCGTTGAAACCCCTTCGGCCACTATAACATAAAATGACAACTAGGTAATAACAGAAAAATATATTTAAAACATATACTACACTCACAGGCAAAATAATCGATCCACACAAATTTTCGATGAATTTCAATGGTCAATAACTTTTTTTATTTGATTTCAGATTTAAACAAATATTAAAGAATATTGTAAATACATTAATGGAGAATCGCTCAAATTTTAAAAATTACTAAAAAATCACGTATAATATACAGGTTTAAACAAAAAAATGTATTTTTTAATGGATTATGCTATCATTACTAAATACTACTTGATTTTATAATTGTAATGAGAGAAAAATATTGAGTACTTTTTATTTTTACTGTACCAATTTGATAATTACAATTTTTTTTTATTTTGTAATTATAATCAGAGAAAATATCAAGTACTTTTTATTTTAACTTAAAATGTTTACTGATTCTAAATATTTTTTTATTTTATAATTAAAAAATAATAAAGAACAGAATACATTGTATTTTTTTATTTTTTTTTTTGATTTGATTAGAATGGTGAATAAGGATACTTCCGTGCTTGTTTATGTTTTTATTGCAACTAGTTTCGATCTATATTAGATCATCTTCAGGCAAACTACAAAAATATGTAAAATTATTATAAGGTTATGTTAACATGATAATGATAAAATTAATAGTTTAAAGTAACAATACAATGGTTGATAACAAATATTAAATACTTACATGTCAATAATTACAATATTTGTATAAAGGTTTATCAATTATATTAAATATATGCATAAAGCAGTGGCGGCTGGTGGATTTTAAGTATACCAATATCTCAGTTATTAGACATGGGACCCACACCAAATTTATATGAGTTTATATTGACATTAAATAAACAAGTTCGGCGCAAACAGAATTTAAATTGAAGTTTTCGAAAAAAAGTTAGTTTTTCCTGTCGCCTACCCTGCCTCCAGGCCCCCCTATTTGAGATAATTCAAATTTTTATTATTTATTTTATTAAAATAAAAAAATATTTCAAATGGTATAAAAACTGTAATATTTGGATTTTTTAAATAAAATTTTAAATTTGTCGATAAATTATAGTAGATAATAAATTGCACCACTTTAATTTGAATTATCTCAAATAGGGGGGCCTGGAGGCAGGGTAGGCGACAGGAAAAACTAACTTTTTTTCGCAAACTTCAATTTAAATTCTGTTTGCGCCGAACTTGTTTATTTAATGTCAATATAAACTATTATAAATTTGGTGTGGGTCATATATGTCTAATAACTGAGATATTGGTATACTTAAAATCCACCAGCCGCCACTGGCATAAAGATAGTTTTAGATTCTGATTAAAATTATTTACAATATACATTGACTTGAAGGACGATGTATTCTTGGTACTTGTATTTTCATTTATATTTTAAGTACAATCAATTTTTTACTTTGACTTTAAACTTTTTGCATTACGAAGTACTAAAAAATATTATTTATTCAAATTAATAAGTACAATTATTTTTGTATTTTTACTTTAAATCAAATTAGAGTAAAAAATACAATGTATTGATAATTTTTATTTTCTCCATTCTCAAGTAACTTAAATATTCTAATGGCAATACTTTTTAAGTACAAATCTCGCAACTCTGAGTTTAAGACACTCTGTAGAGTGGCAACACCTTATATTGTTCTAAATTAAGTTTTAATTATCAAGTCAGATCTATTTTTAACAGTTTTGTTTTTGGTTCACCTTTATTTTTGTGGAAAATATGGATTTTTTTAAAAAAACATTGCAATTTCCAATATTTTTCCTGTATGAAGAACTAAGGTTGCTATGGTCCATCCATAGCCTATGGAGGATGACAGTGACAGTTTTGTTGAATCACACTATACTTGTACATGTCATATACAGCTTTCAAAAGCTATCAAATTGTTTTTTGTAAATTAATGTGTTAATTTTGAGGTGTCTTCTTACTTTTAAAAATGTCTCCAACTGATGTTGCCCTTTGTACTTTACTTCTTGTGACGTTTAAAACACTTGCCACGTAATACTGTGACCGTCCATCCTGGATTAAATTAATGGCTCTGGCAACATCAGTCGGAAACATATCCATTTTTTAAATTTAAACACTAATTTGCAAAAAACAATTTGATAGCTTTTAAAAGCCGTGTATGACATGTCCAAGTATGGGATGATTCAACAAAACTGTTACTGTCATTCTTCATAGCCTAGCAACCTTAATTCTTCATACAGAAAAATATTGGAAATTGCAATGTTTTCTTAAAAAATCCATATTTTCCACAAAAATAAATATATCGAGGTGAAACAAAAACAAAACTATTAAGAATAGATGTGACTTGATAAATAAAAACTAATTTAGAACAATATACGGTTTTGCCACTTTACAGAGTGTCTTAAACTTATGGTAAAAAACATCTTTTTGTTTAAACTTGTATATTATAAACGTACGTCAATTTTTTAGTAATTTTTTAAAATGTAAGCGATTGTCCATTAATTTATCTACAATATTCTTTAATATTCGTTTAAATTCGACATCAAATAAAAAAGTTATTTGCGATTGAAATTCATCGAAAATTTGTGTGAGGGTACTACCTACCTAAATGTTAGGTATATGTCAAAGCATATAACATTCATCCAAAACATCGAAGATATAAAGAAGTACAATAGAGCGTGTCCTAAAAAATATATAAGCATTTATTTTAATTTTAAAATAATCTTTTAGGGGTTTTTCAAGTAGATTAGCCCAAAAAATGTGAATTATAATATTGAACATACCTATCAAGGCGCACAACCAAGATGGTGTAACTTCTATAACTTGAACAATTAACAGTAAAATGTAAGACATCATTAAGTTGAAAACATAGCACATCAAAGCATTCATATGAAGATTTCTGTCTTGAATCAAAAAGTGCGCTACTAATGTCAAAAACAGGAATGGAATGGATATAATGAGTCCTGAAAAAGAGATAGTTTTAGAGAAATGTGGTTCGTGTGGTAATAAGCAGCATTTTAAGTTTAAATAACTACAAATTTACTACTAAGTTAACTTTACAGTATTTTTGACGGTTAACCAAAACGGTTTTATAACGGTATAGATACGAAAATTTTCCAAATTTGGGGAATGGTTTATTTCGGTATTTTACCTACATAATAACCTTTTCGATCTAAAATAATAACGTAATAAATACCACAAATTTACGTAAAAATATCGATATAATTACTAACTGTTTGCTCTCTCTTTCTAAAACATTGACATTCGTAATTTCTTTGTTCTTTTAATTTATATTTTACAAAATGGTATACCTACTTACAAAGTAATAAAGGCCAACCTAGAGTAAAATTAAAAAATATAACTTAAATTGTCAAAACTAATAATATTTTGCATTAAAACTCAAACGCACGTTATTTTATTGATAAAAATAGGCACGATTATCGTTCCTGGCGAGCGTGCAGTGCGTGCACGCACGCAGACGCAACATTTCGGGGGCGCAAAATCAAAGACTCAATCAGTACTTTGTAACGATAAACTTTCTTGCATATGATACTTAAACATAAATTGGATAAAGGTTTCTGCCTTTTTTGCGTCGGCCGCTCTTTTTTTCTGTCGCTATAAAGCGCCTTTTGCCGCTTTGATATTGGCTGCTTATTTTGTTTTGATCAAAATAAAAGGAGAGAAATGGTCATATTATCTTTAGTATTTGTTTGATAGTTGCAGTTGACGGTAGCAAAGTTTAACAGTAGTAACTCTCTAAAATAGAATTAGTCAAAAATGACTAATTCAATTAGTCTAATTGCAATAGCGAAAAAGCAGCGACTAATAATTATTGTCAATAGTAATTTGTATCCCGGATATTTAACAGTCAACTCCTATGTAAAATTGTCCGCTGAATCCGAAAATGTCGTCAAAAGTTATAAAAGTAGAACGTTTTTGAGATTTAGTAAATTTTCCATATAATATGGTATTGACTATATCTTAAAACTGCTTTACTTTTATAATTTTTGACGGTATTTTCTGATTTAGGGGACAATTTTACATAATAATAAGCTGTTAAATGCCCGGAATACAAATAGCTGTGGACTAAAGTTATTAGTGACTGCTTTTTTACTTTGAAAACTAGTCATTTTTAGAGAGTACGTCAACAAAAACCAGTTGTAGTTATTATATTGTTTAGATTGTTTTTTTTTATTATTATTTTTATCACTGACTATTTCCCTCGTCTTAATTTCCACCAATCACAAACGCGCAATTTTGAACTACAAATGGTTTCTATGTGGAAAAACTGTATGACAGCACCTGTCAGCAGTTTTTTCGAGTTTACCCGCGGCAAAACTTGACAGCTGTTGTCACCAAAAATTACAATTTATATTTTAATTGTTAACTGTTAGTGTGGATTCACAATGGACATAACCATAAAAGATACATAATGAAATCATAAATCATAACCATAAAATTTACATAAAACCCAAAGAGCGTTCACAATGACCATAAAAATTGACATGTTGAGCATGTCAAACTAATGTCATTTTAATTTAATTTAAAATTTGTGAATTGTGTTTTTAAAATGAGTGAGACTGAGGAATTGTTATTATTGTTAGTAACAATTTGTTACTACTAATACGACGATGCCAAGAACGCCAAGATAGGGTAAAACCAAAACGAACAAGACGCTGGTGGGTTCGTCCTATAAATAGAGATAGAGAAAAAAAGGATTTCGAAGACTAATTATTGAAAGGCGACTTCATGACACTGAATGGTTTTTTACTTATACTAGAATTGCTAAAACTAGTGTCCCCTAAATTGATTAAACATAGCATACGAAAACCACTGAGTCCAAGTCAACGGTTGGCCATTACATTGAGGTTGTTTACCTACTTTTAAATAAATAAATAACGTATTTATTAATCCTTATGTAAATACATACAATATAAGGTTACAACATAAGATTAAATGGCCAATGACCGAGGTCCTTCAGCCAAATGTGCTTAATTTTAAATTGATATTAAACAATAATAATGGCAATGGTAATGCTTTTTAATTTTGGTATAAAATGGTAAAAAAAGAAAAAAAAGAAGTTACTCTAAAATGGATTTGAATAGTTCAAGTAATGTCTTTTCGGGATGTTTCAATTTCTGTTATTTTGGGTGTCTTGTGCCTACTTTTATTGTAATAAAAAACTAAAATAATAATTTGGCTTTATCTTAGGTAGGTATTTGTCTACCGGTGACTCAACCTTTTCCATAGCAAATGGTTATAGGAACCGCAAGAGTTGCCAATATAAAAACATAACAAACCAAAAGTCACCGAATTTTTCCAAAAAATTACATAAATATTTCATAAAGTTAAATTGTTTGAACTTTATGTGATTTTTACGGTACTCCATAATTTTTACATAAGAGTCACATAAACGTAAAGATTACGTACTATGCACATTGTGAACGCTTCTTATGTATCCTTATGTATTTTTTTTATGTATTTCTTATGTTTTTTTTATGGTTACGTCCATTGTGAACAAGCACTTACTCATAAAATAGTCTTGTCAAATACCATTCGGGCATCTAACTTTTCCTATGAAAAAAATCGTTAAAACACAATGCTAAGTAATATTTTTTAACAAAATGCATTCGTGCAGGTGCAAAAATCCTCGTCTTCGACTCGGATTTCTGTTGCCACCAGCACTCATGCTTCTTGTTAAAAAATTACTTAGCAACGTGTTTTTTCGATTTTTTTCGAAAAAATAGATGCCCTTATGATATTACTTGTTTGTTTGGTAATTTAATAAATATTTTTTATACTTAATTTAAGCGGTTTTTTTACATTTTCAATTACATATTGCCAGTTTGTCGCAAAATATATATTTTTAAAATTTTACAGCTTAAAATTCAAATATTTAATGTATTATATTTAAATATAAAAGGGGCGCACCAACGAATGCTGCACGCAGGCGCCAGACACCCCAGGAACGGGCCTGGCACGATACATCTTAAAAATTATATGCCCTCTAAATATTTTACGGTTTTAAGAAAAATTATTGCTTGGGTAAAAATTCAACAAAACTTAAAACCTACAAAATTTTATAAAATCTTTTAAAAATCATTTAGAAATGTTTAGATAAGTAAGTAATGGATGCCATCTTAAAAAACTAGTGTTCCCTTAAAGTTCTATTTTTCACTTTTAGCTTATTTTTCCTCGTTTAGTCAATATTAATTGTATTTATTACCATTAATAACCCTAAAAAATACCAGGCGAATAGGAATTATTTACGGTTATAAAGAGGTCTTAATATCGTAAAATTATGACTTCTGAGTAACATTTACCATTAAGTAAAAATTCTGACGTCAAAATTACCGCTTGGAATTAATTAAATTAAATACGTAATATGTAGTTATTTTAAGGAATTTACTTATTTAATATACATTAAATTAATATCGTAGATACCACTATCAACCACAATTTTCCTGCTAATTTTATAAATGTTATACTAATACGAATTGCAGATTGTTTATCACAAAATGAATGTAAATAAACCCTCTATAACATTAACATTTTTAGCTTACTCACCCACACATTTTATTCCCCTTTCATTATCCTGGCTTAAGCTATAATCTAGCCTAAAATTATTTGGCGTATAATCTTCAATGCAATATTCATCAGAAACTAATAAAATATACCCTTTTGATTGTAGGGTAATATTAACCTCCAAAGTCTTGATAAAATCGTCGTTAGGAAAAATAACTTGAAAATCTTTTGTATGCACATTCTCCCCTATAGGGGTAGAGTATACTCTAAATTCACTTATGTTATATTCAACTCTGTTAACACAATCCCCATGTTCCTCATAATACTCCTCCAAAGGGCAACATTTTTTAACGCAAACTAAATTTTCACGCTTACAACCATAAACTGTATTATTATAGGTAAGGTAATAATCACTTTTAGACACTTCATCACTTTTTATGTATTTAACTTTGACTTTATTGGTATTACTTAATACAGGGGAAAAATTGGCAATTGCGTAGAAAATAAATATATAGGATGTAAACCAACGCATTGTACCAGTGATAATACAAAACAGTTCTCTTTAAGATATAAAACTATTCAAATTAGTATTTTATCATTAACCACAGCCAGTGTTGCCAAAGAAGCATATACGTCAACATGCAAATACTCAGAAAACTCACCCACACAAAAACTATGGTTTTTGGAAAGAATAAATAAATAAATTTTTAACATGACCGTCGCATACTTTTTTTTTCATGATCTCACATTTTTATTTTATTTTATCGCTATAGACGATCATGTTAGTAAAAAAAAAGTACTAAGAACTTTAACTTACCTTTTCCATATCAAAATACACGATAGGAACTGTAAATATACAGGGTGTCCCAGAACTCGCGCCACAGAGAAAAAGGGGGCGTGCCGATAGCAATGGAGATGCCAAATTTAAAAATAAAAAATTTCTAGGTAATAGTGTAATCGAATGAGAGCAAAAAAGCGGCAACCAATACCGAGAGCTCTCGCCTAGGTTAAACGTAAGAGCTTTAAAAATTGCTAGGAGACGATAGAACATTGTTGTATTAAAAACATTTAAAAATCTTTTGGCCAACTGTATTTACCAAGTTGTCAAAAGCTTTCAAAAATGAGGTTATTAATCTATGACTTATACTTCAGAACGCCAATGTTTTAAAATAACGATTAGGAAAGGGCTGGGAAAAAACTCGCGTTGTCTCCCTGGCGTTGCGCCCACACTAAATAAATAAATAATTATCATTTCAGTATAATCATCTAAGGAAAACATTATTTATAATAACATAATTTATAACCTAATATAATATTAATGACAGGAGTTTGACAGCAGTGTCACAATGAATTGGATTCCAGTGGACCAAATATTTTACATATTTTTTATTATCAACAATGCAACCTAAGTATCCTAGCAATTTAAAGAATTCCCTATGGCCATCTATTGGGATTGGCTATCGTTTTTTATTCTTATCTCGCTTATTTCTTTAAACTAAATAAGCCCAACAGTTCTATTAATTTTTCCATATACTATCAAAATGTCAGAGGGTTAAATACAAAAACTCAGAAAATCTATACATCTGTATCAGATAAAAACCACGATTGCATAGCTCTAACCGAAACTTGGCTAAGCGATGCGGTTTTAAGCTCAGAACTTTTCCCAGAAAACTACATGGTGTACAGAGCTGATCGAAATTTTGCTGCTACTAAAACTACCAAAGGTGGAGGTGTACTGGCTGCATTTGACTCTTCGTATAATGTTAAGTTATTGGATTGTAGTAGTTTTAACGCACAGTTTGTAAATATAGACATATTAGGTTGCAAAGTGTTAGTTGGTCATATTAATGTGTATATGTTTATATTGTATATTCCCCCTGATGTTACCGGTCATGTTTTTGAATGTTTTTTTGAATTCTTTGGTTTATTTATAGCTAACTTTAAAAGTGTTATTGTTCTTGGTGATTTTAATGCTCCTTATTATAATTTAAATGAGTATAATGATTTAAAATCGCGTTCTATTGTTGATTTTATAAATCTAAATGGTTTTCAACAACAAAACAACATTGGTAATATTAATAACAGAACTCTGGATTTATGTGTTTCGGACATACAATGTTTAGTTTCAAGAGAATGCGTACCTCTAGTTCCGGAAGATAATTTTCACCCACCATTATTAATATCATTTGAGCTAGTTGTTGAAAATTTAAACAATTTCCCTACAAACTTTCAACCTAAAACTTACAATTTTAAAAGGGCTAATTATACTGAACTTTATAATGCATTACTTAATGTTGATTGGGAGTCACTGTATAAAACTAATGATTCCAATAGAGCCTGCGAATATTTCTATAACACTTTGTACACTATATTTGATGAATGGGTTCCTACTTATAAAAATAATGTCAAGCGTAAATATCCTCTGTGGTTTACACCCCAGATTATTCAAAATATCAAGACCAAGGAATTTTATCACAAAAAGTATAAAAAAACTGGTAATGTGTGTTTTTATAATGAATTCAAAAGAATGCGAAGTCTTATTAATAGAGACACCTCAATTTCATTTACATCATATCTTAACCTAGCTGCTTCCAGATTGAAATCTGATCCAAAGCAATTTTGGACATTTATTAACCAAAAAAAAGGAACATCACGACTACCGGGAAATATGTTTCTTGATAATAATACTTATGAAAATCCTATTGATGTGGTGAATGGAATTGCAAATTTTTTTAAGAGTGTTTACGTTGAGTCAGTTAATGATATTAGTTTAAATGTAGAAGATTTGGGTATCAATAACCCTCTTGTTCATATTAATAAATTTTCTTTAAATGATATTGAAAAGTCCATAAAGAAACTAAAAAATAATAACACTTGCGGTTGTGATCAGATTCCCAGTTTTCTTATAAAGGATTGCCTGCCCATTTTGAGTAGTCCGCTATTGCATATTTGTAATGTCATTATTTCTACTGGTAAATTTCCTGATATGTGGAAAAAAACAAGGGTAGTTCCGGTACATAAATCTGGTGATACAGCTGATATAAGGAACTATCGCCCCATAGCCATTCTGAGCAACTTTTCGAAAGTATTTGAGATGTCCGTCTACAGTCATATCTATAACAGCGTTAAAAACTATATTACCCCCACCCAACATGGTTTTATGCATAAACGTTCCACAGTTACGAACCTATCAGAATTTACTCAATTTGTGGCTCAAAAAATGGATATTGGTAAACAGGTAGATGTATTGTATACTGACTTTTCGAAGGCCTTCGATAGGGTTGATCATACTGTTTTGTTAATAAAGCTGAGATCATTTGGATTCAGCAATCAACTTTTAAATTTATTTCAATCCTATCTTGTTAATCGTCAATTATTTGTGACATACAATGGTTTTGGTTCTGATGGTTTTAGTCCAGGCTCTGGAGTTCCTCAGGGTTCTAACCTGGGTCCACTATTATTTGTCCTTTTTATCAATGATATTTCCAATTTTGTAAAGTGTCAACATTTGATTTATGCTGATGACTTGAAATTGTTCGTTGATGTTTCAGATGCATCAGACTGTGTATACCTACAAAATCAGCTAAACTTAATAAATGAATGGTGTATCCTCAATAAACTTTTTTTGAATATCGGTAAATGTAAGGTGTGTACCTTTACACTAAAAAAATATCCAATTATTTTTGAGTACACAATTAATGACGATTCCATATCAAGGTGTACAGGTACCAGAGACTTGGGAGTATATTTTGATACCAAATTATCATTTTCAGACCACATCACTAGTATTGTAAAATCTGCTCTTAAAATGGTTGGTTTTATAAATAGAAATACTCAATCAATGAATTGTGAGGGTGCATTGAAAGTTTTGTATTATTCATTGGTTCGTACCAAGCTAGAGTACTGCTCTCTTGTTTGGTATCCATATTATAATGCCTACACTGATCAATTAGAAAGAGTACAAAGGCGATTTTTGAAAACTTTAGCTTTTAGACTTGACAATATTTATCCTGCTAGAGGTACTGAACATATTTTATTGTTGAATAGATTTAATGTTAGGTCCTTGCAATGTAGAAGATTGTTATTAAGTATTAAATTTCTGTATGGGCTGTTCAGAAATGAAATAGACAGTACCTTTTTGATATCACTCTTTAACATTCACGTACCACGAATTAATGCTAGATCTATTTTTACTTTCTATAATGCATATGCCAGAACCAATGTTCTTTTGAAATCTCCAGTATTTGTCATGAGTGGTAACTTCAATAAAATATGCAATGAATGTGATATTGCAGTTTCCACTATTGAAAATATTACAACGTTGGCCATAAATTATTTTGAAGTTAGCTAAACTTATTTTGAATTTATAGTTATTTTAGTATTTGTTTATATATTCTATATTATTATAATTGTCCTGTAATTGGAATTCCTTTTCTGTTGGGCAATAAAGATATTATTATTATTATTATTATTATTATTATTATCCTTTGCGTTAGACAATTTTAATTTTCAAATATGTGTTTCACGTTACTTTCGGCACGTTCCGGTTTTCTATGTGGCGCGAGTTCTGGGACACCCTGTATATATATCGCTAACTGAACTATACAATAAACTGTCGCCATTTGCAATAATAATAGTAAATTATGTATTAAGTTTGATAAACGCCATTTTATACACGAATTTAATTTAGGCACGAGCGAGCTTGCGAGCGAGTTCTTAAATTAATGAGTGTATAGAAAAGTTTATAAACGAGGTGCATACTATACTTTTTCTACGACAAATACTTATTATTATCTTAAAATGATTTAAATCAAAAATTTGTATAGAGCGCCATCTATGAAACAACAGGGTAAACTGTCAAATGTCACATTTTTACATTTTATAAACACAATTATAAAGGTTATAAATCGAAATGTATATTGAAAATTGACAGTTTTTTACAGTAAAAGTAAAGGAAATGTTTTATAAGGACTTTACAGTAGAGTCCGTGCCCGAATTTAAGTTATAGTTTACTGCCGGCGAAATTAAAAGGTCAGTACAATGTTCATATAAACTTTTCAAATATTGGCGTTGAGAAACTATTTAATATTTTTGTATTTTTGTATTGAGATAATAAAATAATTTTCACATTTAGTATTATTTTACAAGAAAAGGCACTTTATTTTAATGATTGTATGACATTTGACAACTGTCAACTAACTTAAAACTAACTTCAGCCCGTGACTAAAAACCTGTTGCTAACTTCAGCCCGTGACTAAAGCGCCATCAAGCCACAACTTGTCAATGTGTATTTAAAAGGTTACTTAGTGTCATGGAAACATGTACGATAAAGGGCGTTTTAAGGGTGGGAGTAGAAAACATATTTTAATTCTATGGTCATGTGAAGAAAACGTCGGGACAACGTTCAGTTATTATTTTTAGCCTAAACATTAACAATAACGGCTATTTAAGACGATTTTAAAACACAAAACCCCAACATTTGTTCAATATCATCTTAAAGGTTGAATTAAATTTTTAGAAGATCGCAAATATTGGATTTTGCTCTAGGGACATACGACGGTCATGTGAAACAGGAGTTTTAGAACCAAAATTAAAAAATAAATTCATAGAATATTGAACTTTTGGTTATAAATCGATAAAAAATATGGCTGTATAGTAAAATGTAAAAAAAATATGACTAATATAAAGGTTAGTTTTAATACCCCAGGGACATGGGATCTTAAAAGTTACAGAAAACCACCCATAAAGCGTTTTACTTACCTCTATGGCAGTGGAAAAGTGATATCCAGTTGATATTTAGAAAAGAGCAATTGATATTCAGAAAGCAGCAATTGATTTTCAGATATTGCAAATGAAATTCAGAAAATAGCAAATGTAATTCAGATATTTCAAATGATATTCAGACAGTAGCAATTGATATTCAGAAATTACAAATAGTATTCAGACAGTAACAATTGTAATTCAGAATATGTCAATTGAAATTCAGAAATTAACAAATGATAACATTTTCATACTTCATTTTACTTATTTTCTAAAATCTCAATTTAATGTATTTCTTTGTATATTGCTTTGTTTCCATGGAATTGACAATAATAAACAAATTTATCACCATTTAAGTAGGTATACCTAAAATATATATATTTGTCATAATAATAATAATAATGCTTTATTGAACTAAAACCAAGTTCAAAGGCTATTGACCGTAGTCCTTCAGCCGTATTTGTCATAATTGTCAACTTATTGCAAGTAAGGACCGAATTTTGTTCATTTGTACTTTATATAAATTTCATTTACTTAGTTAATAAAGATAACGTGTACTTTCATTCATCATCGATTTACTGTATGCAACCCACTGTTTTAATGAATACTGTGGCAAGGAATTTTATTCTAATGCCAAACCACCCCCCCCCCCCCCACACACACACAACCCACTGTTCCTGAAACAATTGCTGCGGCTAAATTACATTTGATTTAATCTGAAAAACAATTGCTACTTTCTGAATTACAATTGCAAGTTTCTGAAAATCAATTGTGTTATCTGAATTACAATTGCTACTTTCTTAAAATCAATTGGAATAGCTGAATTACAATTCCTACTATCTGAATATCAACTGGAATAACTGAATTACAATTCCTACTTTCTAAATATCAACTGGAAAAGGTGTAGAAGCAAAAAACTTAAATGATAACAAAATAAATAATTTATTAGGGAAAACTTGTAAAATCATCCTCTCCTTCAAAGGGATCAAATTTTAATTCATTTTGCAGTTTATCTTCACTTTTGGGCATCACCACGACATACTTGGTACCGAACCTGGTGTTCTGTGCCATGGCAATCGGCCTGTGGTAGAAGTTGTTCAGAACCGGCAATTTCTGCGTGATGTTGTGGAACCTGTTGCCCACATTTAGGGCGAAGTTGTTCCAGTTGTTGCCCAAATTTTGGGCAAAGTTTCCGAAGTTCGAGCCCACACCTTGAGCAAAGGTCCCAATGCCGTTCCCGAAACCCTGTATTCCATTACCGATGGCTGCAAACGAATCGGGAACGTTTAGTTCCACCGGAAACCATTCAGAGCCGTTGATCCAGTCGCCTATGAACGATAAAGGCCCCTTCAAGTAGGCTGGGTCCAATGGGAAAGGAATGTATCTGGAAATGTAACCTTACTAAGACGTTGTTTCTACACCTCAATCTAAACAATGACGTTATTGCGTTTGGAGACCGAAATTGGCCGCCAAGAAGTTACGATTTAAGTCCTATTGAGTTTTTTTTTATTTAAGATATATTTGAACAATTTTAAGACGATTTTAACAGGATTTTCAATTAAATGAAATTCGTCATAATTTTTGATCTGTCAATGATAGAAATGTCATTTTTTGAAAAAGTTAACGTAAACTATTAACTTTATAACAAGAGTGTAAAAAATAAGCTGCTGTTGATAAAAATCCATGGATAAATGGCGAAGTTATGAATTTTCCAGTGGAAGAAGAAAATTCAGTTTTTCGAGAATTTTTACTTTTTTTCTTCATTTTATTGAATTATATAAAATATAATATTGAACATTGAAGAAATTGAAAGTTTTATTTTGTTGTAATAAGCATAGGTTAAAAATTCTGGATCCTTCTTTGTTTTTTGTTGCTTTCGTATTCCGTTTCTCGTATGAGGGACCAAATGTAATCACCCATCATGGCTGCATCCCAGAAGCCGTGATACCGCCGCTCCATAGCCTTCATTTGCTGGTGAAAACGTTCTCCGTGCTCATCACTTACGTCGCCCAGATTGTGCGGGTTATTTACGCACTCGAACTCTCTACTTCTTTTACTCATTTTACACTTTTTATTAACTAAATAAAACCATGATAAAAATACCTTGTTGAAATATATGTTAAATTTAAATTTTGAATAATGTTTTCATTGAAAAAAGTACGTAAAAAACTCAAAAAATTCCAATCATGCACTTTAATTAGGTTTTCATTAAAGAATAAACATATTACAAAATAAACGAAAAAAATTAAATAAAAATCGTCAAAAAGCTGAATTTTGGTCTTATAAAAGCAGTTTTTAACAGTAAAAAATATATAATTACATATATTAAATTTAATGTTTAATTATTTTAACAAAAAACGTAATTCCTACTAAGTATAAACATTAGGGACGATATCTCCTAATAAGCTATGCGTTTCTAGAAAAATTAGTAGATTTAATTGTTAACAAAATACAACTAATTTGGTAAGTCAAATAGTTGCCGAGATACAGCCCTTCAAAGATTAAACCTATTTTCAAAAAATGCAAGTTTTTAATTTAGTTATCTGTATGTTCTAAGTTGAATATCGGCCAAAGGACATGACCTAAAGTAAAACTTATCAAATAAAATTTATAGAAAATTTAATTTTCTGTAAAAAAGGTGGGTATAAAATTTTTCCAAAAAAGCATAGTTTAGGATATATCGCCATATTTACCTTGCAGGAACAAAAACGACATCTCTCCCGTCACGTTGGCTTATAGGAGCTGCCGATGCGATCTCGCAACAAAACAGAAAGAACAACAAAACTAGCGTGCTGTGCCCCCTCATGGCTTGCCTTGACACTGGTGCCCCGTTACATTAACGACTGAATTTTTGAGTGACCAATAGGTCTGCCAGTCGAATGCAAAATCGACAAGAAAGTCTCCTCCATCAGCCAAGTCACCTTATATATTGAGCTGTGTTTGTTATTTGATTAATTAGATAGTACTACTTAGTGCTCTTAATCGTTAAATAAATACATAAGGTGATACCATTTGCATACGTACGGGCATAATTAAAAAATACCGTTACTATGGTAATGTAACATTGTTAAATTAAAAATAGTATTCTCTAAAAATGAATTTATCAAAAATGACTAATTTAATAGTTATTAGTGGCTGCTTTTTCACTAATCACTTGTAAAATTGTCCCCTGAATCCAAAAATATCGTCAAAAGTTAAAAAAGTAGAACAGTTATTGAGATATAGTCAATTTTACATTTAATATGGAATTGACTATATCTCAAAAACTGCTCCACTTTTATAATTTTTGACGATATTTTCGGATTCAGGGGACAATTTTACATAAGAATCGGCTGTTAAATTTTGGGATACCATGGTATTCCATAGTTAACCATGGTACAAGTGAAAAAGCAGCCACTAATAACTATTAAATTAGTCATTTTTGACTAATTCTTTTTTTATTATATTAAATAATGCAGACTATTATTCATGGGAATAGGGTTTGCGTCTCGAGCTGCCAGACGAGAGACGTAAATCATCCGAGTGAAAAATAATCTGACAGATTACCAAAAAGTTTAACTAAACCAAAATGTCTAAAAAATAACTAGTCTTTGCAAATATTTGTTTTTTGTCTAGTTTTATCTAATATAATAAACAAGTTGCTTCATTTAAAACAAGGATTTTCATTCTTTCAAAGAGTAATTACAAAATTTATTTATTTTTTAAATTATGTGGGATTGTTGTATTTGGGATAATTGTATTTAAAAACACTTAATTAAAAGTTGTTTGTAATAAATAAAAAAAAGTAAAACCGCTACGATACATGGCAAGTTTTTGTTTACAATTTTTCAGTAGCGTACCTTACAGATATTAAAATGTCACAAATGGGTGATATTTAATAAAACTAAACCTACAATTTTATTGTATTTTGATCTTTCATATATTAAGTAGTCTAAAACCTATCCTCCGTGACTGTTACTCTTTCTAGGTTAACCTATATGTTTTCAAATATCTGAGATAGTAAAAGCTTACTAAAAATATCAGTTCACTGAGTAAATTAAACACATCCAAAGCAATAGAATCAAATATAAAATATTATTAAAAATTAAAAGAAATAATTTTTATAACCATTCATGTAGGTGTTACAAAAATTGATTCTATCCTCCGTGAATCCGTTTTTGCTTTAAATTTTAAGCAACGGATGGCGATTTAATCATTTTTTTCAAAATGTTCAGCAATTGCGTGGTACACCCTGTATATATATAACTAAAAAGTAACCTACAAAATGAGGCACGCCCCTGCTTTAATTAACTTCAAGATGCACGCTATATTTAACAAAGGACGTAACGGTACCACAAATAAGAAACTATATTTTACAAACGGTCTGTAATATTCTTACAAACATTTATAATACTTACAAACAAAATAAATAAATAAATAAATTTACACTAGATTATAACTGTTTTAGTCACTTTAAAGGGTTTTGTTGAGATGGTCACTTTCAGTTGAAACTTCGTTCCTCAGTATTATTAGATTGTTCGGGTCAAAAACTTCCCCGTAAGTTTTGTTCGGAAGTTGGGGTGTTATGTCGACTTCCCCCAGTATTATAACGTTTATATGGGGTTTGATTTTCATTGGAGGTGTCACCACCTCAAAGTATTTTTCCGTGGAAGTGGAGGTTGTATTTTTCGCATCTTCATCTTCATCTTCCAGATCACCAAAAACGTTGGTTTGGTTGTTTGGCGACTCCATCTCATCCGTGGAGTTGTTTTTTATTATGTAACTACCCACATCTTCTACCTCAACATACTCCTCATCCTTTTCCACATTATTGGCAGTAGTAGTACTCAGTTTCATCGTAGTAGTCTCTGGTGGATAGAAGAACAGCTGATCCGCTGCACTTAAAGTATAAGTAGGCTTATCCCACGTGGGAGGCCTGCTTAGATCCTCGTGAACATAGTTGCTGAATTGCGCTTGTATCTTCTGCGCAAAATACTCAATGATGGGCGGGAATTTGCTCACTTCCGGTTGAGGTTGAAATAATGCCCAAAAAGTGCTGTTGTTCTTCAACTTGATTGGCCCGAATTGCACTAAATTAACGCCATTGGTTAATAACGGTACTGATAGAAGAAGACATGCCAACTTCATAAGCATGTTGATATTGAATGGAATGTCAACAACAACTGTTAGGATGCTTCTTATAAAATGTAAGTGGAACATGAGTGAAATTTAAATGAGATGAATACTTTTACTATATGCGTGTGATGCACTGAATAATAAGAAAGGTAGACTTTAAATAAAGCGCTAAATGGATTAATTTTGTATTTTTTTCTGATATGAATGACTCTTAAATTATATAAGTTTATTTGGTACAATACAGCTTTCATTTTTAATTAATTGGGGTAAATTCTTCAGGAATTGTTCCATTTAAAGAAATGGTTAAATCCAATGTAGTTTCAACATCACTTGACTCAAATTTCACATGGCCATGTTTAGATCTGGCCCTGCGTTTTGTTTTCTTTTTTTCTCTAACTCTTTGATCAAATCTGAAAAAGTGTTACTTTATTTAGAGCTATAGTTTAAAGAAATTTCAGAAATATTTTCCAACACCAAAGACAAACACTGCTTTATTTCTATTCTTTAATAACTATCTAGCAGACTTGGTTATATCACCAAAGTTGCCCTTTTTTAAGTATCTGTTATAGTTGGTTGAGTCCTATGTACCTTGAGACTAGTTCATCGACAACATCCTTCTCTGATTGATCCAAGCAGTAAACGTTGTTTAGTTCATCGCCTGTATTATTTATGTTGGGTTGCCTAAAAGGTATGTATAGCACAACAAAATATACAAAACCTTGTCATTGTTTGTACCTATGCCTTTGCTCCATCTTGATAACGATCTTCTTCAAAATTTGTATCTCTTTCTTCATGCCATCCAAGTTTACTGAGCTTGCATCATGTCTTTTCAGGACTTCATTTGCCTTGGTTAAGGCCACAATTTGATTTCTGTACATTGACTCTCTTTTAAAGTTGGTGCTCCACTCTTTTTCCCGATTTTGCACCATACTTCTGATAAAATTAACTGCTGCAGAGATTTTGTCGAAATCGTCTCTATAGAAATATACAAATAACTTTAAATGAGCGTAAATTTGTTTTACAAATTCTATACTTGGTCAATATTTTTGCGTCTTTGTACAGCTCCAAAGCACTGTTCAAGTATTTCCTGGTTTGCTCAGTGCTGACGCAAGCCCTACACAAAATTCCTTCGTACGTTTGCAGACCTTTTTCCCTGACTTGCACCATCTTTCTCCCGGCAGATTCGTTGTACCTCATGTTGATGTACGCCTCTTTGAGTCTCATAAACACATCCTGGTTGTCCTTGACGAACTCCAACTTGGATCGCATTTTGCCGCTTCTGAGCCTCTCCTGGAACAGTCTAAATACTAAATTATATTTTGTCTGGTGTGGTTTTTACTCGTCCGAAAGTTTTTTGTTCTCTTCCTCGTATTTGTGGCATTTTTCTTGGCACAGTTTCAGCTTTCGTTTGAGGGTGGTTACCTGGTCATTTTCCGGGAAAACCTCACTTATTGAGGTTGTGATTGAGTTGTTATCAGATGATGTCGGACAAGTGGATGAGTTCACGAATTTTCCTGGAAATAAGAAGTTTTCTTGATGCTATTTGGGACAAACATTATGGTTTACCATCGCCTGTTTCCAACAAATCATTGGTACTTATTTCTGATAGTAGTAACGAAAATTCTTCTTCCATACTAAAAAGTTACATATTACAAAAAACGTTTTTTTGAGTATACACGAAATTTATGACAATTTGAACGTACAGAAAAAGTTATATGTCAAAAAGTGATTAATTACATTTTTTTATTTAGGTTAAAGGGTTTGTCACAATAACATTAGATGATGGTGAAACTAATGGAAATATGTTTTTTATTTTATCTAGAATGTGTTTTATTATTTGCTGTTATAAGTTTGTATTTGGTCGAATTATTGACCATCAAAACGCGACAAAAAATAATGAACATATTAACAAAATAAACAGGTTTTTACTATAGGTGACCGTTATTATTAAGATGCATCTACATATGTACGAGGTGTGTTCAGAAAATATAGGAAATTTTCGTTTTTTTCCCATTTTCCCCATTGGATATTATGCACATGTGCCATCTCTTCTTCTAATACTCGAAACCCTTCTAAAACTCGATCTTTGGGATAGCCTTCACTTCTTTCAGCGATGCGCTTTAAATGTCATCTATGCTTGCAAAACGACGGCCCTTTAAGGTTCTTTTTATTTTTGGGAATAGGAAAAAGTCAGACAGAGGCATGTCTGGCGAATATGGAGGCTGGGGCATCATTACAGTATTGTTTTTGGCCAAAAATTTTGTTCAAAATTTAACAATTTTAGAACAAATTTTGCTGCCAAGCTTTCATACCAAAAACATTCGAAAAAATTTCATGGGATGAGCCAATCAATATACCAACATCATCAGCGACTTCTCTGATGGTTTATAACCATTTCTTCCACTTTTTCCATGTTTTTATCGGTTGTTAATGTGCTTGTGCGTTCGGGGCGTTCGTCATCTTCAACGTCTTCACGGCCATCTTGGAAACTTTTAAACCACTTCTAAACTTACTTATAGCAGACTCACTATAGGCCTTTGTTAACATTTCACAGAATTTATTTCATTTTTTAAGCAAAATTGGATACAAATTCTTTGATTCATTTCTTTTAACGAACGAAAAATCGCCGAGCTCATAAAACACGTCTAACCTTAGCGGCTGCCACAAACAAAGTAAACAAAGAAAACAGCTAAAGTTTTTGTCATACTTCGGGGCATGTATACCAACATAATAAAGAAAATTTTATGACAACCGGACCCTCCGAACCTGCGAAATTTAACAAGTCCCGTTATTTTCTGAACACACCTCGTATGAGGCATAGTGCGCCAGTGTGATATAAGTCCACGTGCTTGAGGCAGAGGTTGCCAAGTTTACATTTCAGTATGTACAGTAATGTTTCAAATTTAATAGCAAATGCCAAATATACATTGAATTTTCTTGATATATATTCTTTCAGTAAAATTTTGTTACAATTTTCATTTTATGTTTTTTAATCCTCCAATAAAAACCCCGAAATGAAAATTACCCCATGTGGCAACGTTGCTTGATATCGATTTGGTTTTCGCTGCGCTGGTTTGACAAATTTCCACTTTGTTTTAGAATTCGGCACTTCTTTAAAGTTTTTGAAGGGGTAAGCTGCGATATGTCCAAAAAGTGCATGACCTTGAACGGCAACGTCGCAATTTTAAAGCGAAATCGGTAAGGCTGGTTTCACATTTTCCACGAAATGTAAGGGTTTTATCTCAAATTAATAATATTTTTAAGGTTTTTGAGCAAAAACATGCGGCGTTGCCACAAAATTTGGATCTACCGAGCTTTCAAGGTCATGTGCTTCATTTTGAAGGTTTGCTCTTTATGTCAAAAAGTCAGAAGTCAATAATTGGTTAAATAATTAATTAGAGATTTTAGGTAATAAATAACTTAAATAATTTATTAAATATAATATTTTTAAATTTAAATTTTACTTTTTTATCAGACTTTCTTATAAGATCATTTGGCAACAGTGCACAGCTAGGTTGAATAAAACGTTGCATTAAGCCGGTCTGCTGTAAGTCTAAAAATATAAAATTTAACTTATTTATTAGGTTATATATTAGTTATTTATTGTTTTTTTTACTTAATTGAGGTAAGTTAAAATTACATTATTATTTAGATAGAAATGTCGTCTTTTTAAGTCATTCCCAAGAAATGTAAAACATTATAAAACGTATTTTTCGTTAATTAAATAAAAATTTTGTATAAAAGTTACTAACCTACTCTCAAAATGACCATTTAACAAAGTTTATTTTGTATAATTTTTTGAAAAAAAAAATGATGCAATTAATGGGTCATTTAAATTTAAATAAATTTATTGCTATAACAACATGTATTAATACTTTATGAAAAATGTATTTTTTTAGGAAACATGTGTGGCATATGGGCAGTTTTTGGAGTGTCCTCCAATTTACATAACCAGTGCGCCAATAATTTTACAAAAATTTCGCACAGAGGGCCAGATGCGTGGAGGGTGGAATATGACAACCAAATTAAGGTAAAAAAAAAATTAATAAAAATAAAATATTTTAAAGGAAATACATTTATAAAGCACAATTTATAAAAACTAAACATTCTTTATCAGTAGTTTGTCAAGTATGCGAATAGTATTGATTAGCATTATAGTTAACCATATCAAGAATTCGCTATATCCGAAATATGTAAATAAAAAAATACGTAAACAAATTTTCTTATCAACTGTTATATGTTTAATTTAATTTAAATGGAAAGGAAACACTGTTTTGCCAAAACACTGAATATGTTATATTATAATAAAAATGAATTAGTCAAAAATGACTAATTTAATAGTTATTAGTGGCTGCTTTTTCACTTGTACTATGGTTAACCATGAAATACCATGGTATCAAAAGTTAAAAAAGTAGAACAATTTTTGAGATATAGTCAATTTTCCATTTAATATGGAATTGCCTATATCTCAAAAACTGCTCCACTTTCATAATTTGTAATGGTATTTTCGGATTCAGGGGACAATTTTACATAAGAATTGGAAGACCATGGTATTCCATGGTTAACCATGGTACAAGTGAAAAAGCAGCCACTAATAACTATTAAATTAGTCATTTTTGACTTAATCAGGATTTTCTTCATTGCAATGTCATCCCCATTTTCTTGTATAACTTTTCTGCTAGGGTACACTAACCCCGTGTCCTTGATAACTACACATATAGTCTTATCCATTTTAAGTTAAATGGTTAACAAAAATGTTGCTGACATTTATAGTAAAACTTTCATTTTTCGTAACAAACTAATTTGTATTTTTAGAATTGCTGCATTGGATTTCACAGACTGTCTATTGTCGATTGCACGTATGGTATGCAACCCATGAAACTCCACCAATATCCCCACACCATGTTGATTTGTAATGGTGAACTGTACAATCACAAAAACGTAAATAAAATTAATAAAAATGTATGTTTCATTCACACTAAAGTGCAATTTTTTTAGTTGGCCACTCAGCATTCCTTTGAGTATGAGACCAAGTGCGATGTAGAGTGCATTCACCATTTGTACCAGAAATTTGGCATTGAAGGATGTTGCAAAAGCCTTGACGGTGTTTTTGCCTTCTGTTTGGTCGATATACCAAAGAAGAAGGTTTTCTTGGGGAGAGATCCTTACGGGGTTAGACCCTTGTTCAGGGTGACCAGCGAAAAGGGGATGTTGGGGATATGCTCAGAAGCCAAAGGTATGATCTTTAAAATATTAACCTTTAAACCGTTAAACTCAATGCAATTGATTCTTAGGTCTGGTAGCCGTCCTGGATGATCTTAATGGTGACGGGAAGTCCATTGAACCATTCCCTCCAGGAACATTCGAGGAATACGATCTTCTAGACAATGGATCAGTCAAATTAGTAAGAAGTCAATCGTACTACACTCCCGGTCTGAAACCTACATTTAAAACAGTCATCCCTTACGAAGGTAAAACAAATAACAAAACAAACAAACAAATAACAAAACATTACAGATTTGGTAACAAACGATCACCTCAAGAACATCAAAACCCTCCTCACAGCTGCAGTCAAAAAGCGCCTAATGGCTGACCGCAGGATAGGTTGTTTCCTCTCAGGAGGCCTAGACTCCTCACTCATTGCATCCCTGTTGGTAAAAGAGGGCAAAAAGATGAACCTCCCTTACAAAATCCAATCCTTCGCCATTGGCATGGGAGACAGTCCCGATATTAGGGCGGCTCGCCAAGTAGCCGAATACATAGGTATTAGTGTAGTGGAGTAAATAAAGTTGTATGTGATAGTTTGTAAATTCCACTTGAAGGTACTGAACACCACGAGATCATCTTCAGTGAAGAAGACGTGGCAAGAGTGCTCGATGAGGTTATTTACACCCTGGAAACACCAGATATAACGACTATTAGGGCTTCGGTAGCGATGTACTTGATTTCCAGATACGTTTTGGAGAATACCGACACAACGGTGCTTTTTAGCGGCGAAGGGGCAGATGAGGTTGCCCAAGGGTACATTTATTTCAGGGATGCGCCCAATGCTAAAGAAGCCCATGAGGACAGCTTGAGGTTGCTCAGGGAAATTTATTTGTTTGATGGTTTAAGGGCTGATAGAACTACAGCTGCTAGCAGGTTAAAAAATAATTCTAGTCTCATACAAAATGTATATTTTGTGTTTTTTAGTTTGGAACTTAGAGTTCCATTCTTGGATCTACAGTTCACCAACTACTATCTTAACATGCCAGCAGAGCTAAAACAACCCAAAGATGGCGTTGAAAAGTACATGCTCAGAGCTGCCTTTGACAAAACTGACACTCTCCCAGACAAAATCTTATGGAGACATAAGGAAGCCTTCAGGTATTTCTTTTTCTTGATAAAAAACATCTTGCAATCACATTTTTTATAGTGACGGTGTAGCATCGAAAAAGAAGTCCCTCTTCGTGACGCTCCAAGAGATAATCGAGAAAAGAATGCCGGAACCCTTCAACGCTGAGGCGACAGCCAAAAAATACCCGCACTGCACTCCCAAAACTAAGGAGGCGCTTTATTACAGGGAAGTTTTCGAAAAATCTTATCCCAAGATGGCGGATAAGTTCGTGCCTTTCTATTGGATGCCCAGATGGGTCGAGGGTGTGACAGACCCATCCGCCAGGTTCATCAAGCATTATTCTGCTGAGCAGAAATGAAGGAAATAAAAATAAATTTGTTTTTTGATACGTAAAATGTTGTTTTATTCAATTAAGATGGCTCGAGTTCCAGTTCTGGATATATTTTTATATTTTCAGCGATAACATTGATTTTTGATACACCGGAAGTTGTTTTATTTCTTTGGTGGGGAGGATGTATAGGGGGAGTTTTACGATGTTCAAGTCAGGTGGACGCATTAAGGATTTAATTTCCAACTTTAATGGTGATTTCTAATGAAAGTGAGAACAATGAAATGCCGAAATTAACTATCGGTGAGATTGACGGAATTAAATAGATCCTGGGAAACAGTAGCGTAACATAGAACTTGTGTGTGTATTAAAACTAAAACCTTTTTTTACATTTTACCAAACAATATCCTATGAATTTATTTTTTAATTTTGGTTTTAAAACTCCTGTTTCACATGACCGTCGTATGTCCCTCGAGCAAAATCCAAATTTAATTCAACTGTTAAAATTATATTGAACAAATGTTGTGTTATATGGCGTAAGTTAAAGTTCTTCGTATTTTTTTATTAACATGACCGTCTATAGTGATAAAATAGCAACATATATAGTTATAAAAATGTGTGAAATCACATGAAAAAAAAAGTATGCCTGCACTGCTTCTCAGCATAGAACTCGAGTTTTCCGTTTATTAGCAGTGGCTGTGAACAGCAAGGGCGACTGAGATGCAGAAGCCCGGCCACCCGTCTTTCTAAATTGGTTTGTGTGTTTTTATGGCTGTGTTTTAGTGCCTAGTCCGCGCGCGCCCGCGATTGCTATTGGGTTAACGGGACGACAAGGGACCGGGTCATTCAGTTTGAGCCCGGTGCACAAAGAACAGTCAAGATTTGCAGAGGTGTTTATATGGAATCCCCTCTGCCACTCTCTTGATCATGAAGTGCCATCAAATCCCAAATATTCGTTGTGCATTGAGCAGTTTGTTGGGGATGAAAGCTGTCACACGCACCTACTACACGCATAATTTACGATACTGAAACGCGTTACCCTTTATAATATTACAGCTATGCTCCTTCCGGAATTGTTTAAACCTATATTAGTTTATTGATTAGTTAGAAGTTTGGAAGAATAGTACACCACCTTCCATACTGAATAACCAGTCCCTACCTATGACAGGGTGTAGAGGGGCAGCGCACAAGGGTGTAAAAATAAAATAAGAAAATTCAATCTAGTAGCCCCTGCGAAACATTTAGCGTTCACGAGGGACACACGTACAAAGAGGCGGCGTTGCATGGCCACCTAAGGGACGGCTCGCGGCAGTCGCTGATTCAATTTCCAAATCTTGCCGGACCATATTTTAATGTTGTTTTCCATGTATTTTACATTTCTCTTTGATCTACTCCACAGAAAAAATCGTATCCCTGATGAATAACTTTTAGGTGTTGGAGTTCCTCAAGGTAGTGTCTTGGGACCATTGCTTTTTTCAATATACATAAACGACCTAACTAAATGAATCATTACTGTGTTTTCAGCCAATTTCCAGAAGAATACTGTTTTATATTTGTTTGTTAGCATATACTTTAAAACAAATATTTACTACTGGATGTAAATACTTTGTATAGATGTATATAGCGAGAAGAAACATCAAACTTAGAAGCCTCATAAATAAGGAGGTCCATGAAATCGCCACTGGCACTAAGTTGGCCGTGCGGGGTGGACATCCCCCCTCACGGCCGCCTCGGATTTGCATTCATCAGCATTTCGATTTTCCTGCTAGCAGGAGATTTCCTGCCGGCCTTCAGTTCGATATAATGCGACTTCCACGTCCTGCTAAATCAGTTTATAAGGATTTCAGAAAAAAAGATTAGAGGGACAGTGGACTTGCACATGAATATTATTGGGAATTTACATTTTAAAACTCCAAATTGGATTATCGATCTAAAGTAGCTGTAGCTCTCTGTTGTAGTAAAGTTTGGTGTGAGAGAGTGCGTTAATTAAATCTATCGGGTATTTTATGTTTAATGTAATGTTCGAGAAATAGTTACGAGGATAGTAAATTAGGCTAGGGGTCAGAGCAATAACGATAAATTACGTGTAATATCTTGATAGAGAGGAGAGAAACCCTTCCTAATAGATTGCACACTACACCAATCTCCACTGCCACCCTTCACCCACATTCTACATTCTCTCTGTGTACTTACACTATATATGTTATATTCCTACAGTAGGTAGATGAGTAACTGTAATAGTTTAATTGGGAACCTGGCCCAAGCATAGGCTCATGTGTCACGATCGTATCCGATATCAGGCGGTTTTGTCGACCGCTCCCCGTTTCTTCTTAACAGCCCCTCCCCAGGGGATTGTACGTTATATCGCGTTTAAAGACGTTAGAGCACCGGTCTGGGCCACCTCTCCAGTAGTTTCACTTTGCAGTATATCTTCGCTTAATAGGTTAACAGGGGGTGGGCGCCGAATCCCCAATATGCGTACGTTATGAGCCAGGCAGTTTAGTCTTTTTTTAAATCTATATTTCGCTATTTGTTACATCTAAAGAAGCCCTATATGCATGCGTAAACAAGGTCTATTCTCATTTGCTGTTGGTTGGCTCACATTATCAAATCAAAATCGATATTTTTATAAATTTAATATTGAAAGCATCTTCTGTGCTAATTACGGATTTTTATGTACCCTAATGCCTTCCTATCGTCATGTTGCCTTTTAAAGTCTGTCGTGCAAATGTACGCATCTCACGCAACGCGTATTACAACGAATGCGGCCAAATTTCCACAAAGACTGCCTTTTAAAGGGAAGTCAACTCATTATTCATAAACGCGCTATCCTGTCCCAAAACCGCTTTATGCGTTTTTTGGGCCCTCTTTATTGTGGAATTCCAGACAGCAATATGACGTCTTAATTAAGTCTGCATAAGCTCTATTTTATGATTTGAGCGTCAAATACAACATCAGAAAGAAGTTTTTAAGAAGTTCTTAAGACTTCGAATGCGCCACCTACTGAATTAATCAAGACTTCACTGAGAGAAAGAAATAATTAAATTAATTAAAATTTTAATTCATTTAAATAAGAATTTTAATACCATATGGGACAATTAAACCGTTTAATATATTTAGGAATAAAAATATTCCTGAAACGTTTAATTGTTTTTATTAAACTTATTTTATACGTTTTTAGAAAAATACTTAATACCATTTATTAAGCATAAAACCTTAGATTTATTAAACAAGACACTTAGATTTATTAAACAAGACACTTAAATTTATTAAATATTTTATTAGTATTAATAATTTAGCTTAATTAAAATAATTAAACTGTTATTGGGTTTAAATAAACTTGTTTGTCAAATCTATGGTAATTTTTATTATTTTTTTTACTTGGAATAATTAAGCAGTTTATTTAATATTAAAGGTATAGCTTAATTAAAATAATTAAACCTATATGGGGGTTAAATAAACTTGTTTGTTATTTCTATTAACTAAATACTTACGCCTATTAATACATATTTACCAAGGATAATTATGGAGCAAACATGCAAAAGCCGATATATCCATTTTAACTTATTCTAAAATATTGGCCAAACATGTGTACAGCCGAGTCCCCCAAATATTTAGTTAGTTAAGAGTTTACCAAAATTAGTATGAATACTCTTAAAATGTAAAAATGGACTTATCTGTTTTTGTATGTTTGCTCCACAATTAATAAATTAGTTAATGAATATTTTATATAACTAATTAAGGTTTAATAAAAAAGTTTATTTAATAAAAATAAAAAATTTATTAGGTAGGTAGGTACATGAAAAACTAAGCAAATTTATATAAAACATTAAATAAAAAATATTAATACTTTAAACCCTAATCTAAATATAATACATAATATTTTAAAAATTTAACCTAATTAACCTTTGAATGTGATTTTTTGGTTGTATATGAGCTAATCAAGTCGGTTTTTGAGGTGCTTGGTTTTGAAGTTGCGTGAAGAGTGTAGAGTGAAGATTCTTAAATCAATGGCTGCGATGTAATTTCATTGAAAAAGCTAGAAAATTTCTCTACTGGGCTTAATACTAAACTATTGGAATATGTTGTTAAAGTGCGGTTAGAAACCGTTGTTTATATAGAATCAGTTGGTGTTGATTCTAATTGAGTATATTCAATCTAAAATATTAAGAAAATAAGGTTTATTAACAACTTACTTACGAATAAATATTTCCTTAAACTCTTCCAACCCTCAATCTTCCAGCAATTTTTAAAACATATTTAAACTTCACCCACCATAAAAATACACACATTTCATGGAATACATTTATTATTATTATAATATCTACTATTATATGCACTCTTTCTAATCAGGTTGGACTAGTCTATGCAAGCAAGGCAAGGCAGATAACCTCAAAAGCACGTTGTGCGCGGCGATAGCGAAATAGAAGTAGCGAATAAAAGACCGAGTTTGTGGTCAAAAATCGGAAAAAGGGTTCGGATGTTTTCGGTCCACTAAATTTTAAACCTGTTACTTAAACCTATTAAACACATTATTTAAATCTATTAATCCATATTTTTATTAAACAAACATCTTAATTTTAATGATTTTATTAATAGGTTCTAGTTACTTTAATTTCAGGTATTAGGTTGAATAATAATAATTAACAACATATTCCATTTCAAATGTTCAGTTTAATAAAAATAAAAAACATGTTTTAGGAATTATGTTTTATCTAGAATAAGAAAACGTTTTATTTGGTGTTATTAAAATTTGTTTTAAATTAATTAAAATTTTGTTAGGAACTCTGTTTAATAGGACGATTTTTCTCAGTGTTCTCAAAAAAGAACTCTTGAGGAACCCTTTGACTTAATTAAGCATTTTAAAGAGTCCTACTGTATAAACTTATAAAAAGACCTCTTTAGAATTTTCCGTTTTGGATATAGAAGTACTACTAGGGTACTGATGAAGAAATTGCATACTGGATCGTTGCTTATTTTGACATGTCAAGTTTATTTTATTAATTTTATTAAAATAATTTTAATAATTTGCTCGTATTCGCTTATTTTAGGAATTG